CTCCAGTGCCTGGCATGGTGCCTTGGATGTCATTAAGTATTTGTTAAATGTTTGAATGTATAGAAGCAACAGGAGTCTCTCAAAGGTAGGGGCACAACGTTTTGGCTTCTCTCCAGTTTCCCAGAAAACTTAGTGTGATGCTTAATAAATAGTTGTGAATAAAATTAAAATTATATTATCAGAATTAGATCTTCATGGGGCTACTTTAAAGAAAGATCAGAAGGGACTAAATTAGGATAGACTGACAAGAAAGAAAACTTTATTTCTACCTGCTTATAGACGTTTGCCACTTCCCAGTGCAGCTTCCTCCCTCCAAGAAAACAGTTCATATTTTTATCAAAATATATTCAATTAATTAAATATAGTTACAGTGGATCTTTTGACATTGTTACTGACAGTACTGTATCCAGTAAATGAATATTTCTTTGATAAGTACATCTTTTCTTTGCAGTAGTATATAGATCTTTATTTACATTCTAGGCCTAAATTGTGAGATTACATGATTCTAATTTATTCTATGTAAAAATGGCTTGGCAGAGTGGTCCAATCAGAAGATCAGTTTTAAAACCATTGTTGTGAAATATATTTCTTTGTTTGGTGTTGTCATAATTTTCCACGGAAGGATACTTCATCTGAAGCATGTCTACAGTAGTGATAAGAGAGTTACTGCTGGCATTGATGTTTCCTTTATGGAAAGACATTTTTGGGATATTGTTATGTGTACCTCCTCATGAACCTTGCTAATCACTGAAAAACAGATTTCAAGAAGGGTAAAACACATCCCTTTTATTCCTGTTCCTGTCTCCACTTTATTTTACCATTTTCCCTCTCAGATTTTGACTTTCAGGGTTCTTAACTAGTTTTCCCCACCCTTTATTTTAGTGTAGAGCATGGCAGTCAGTGATAGAAAAAAAAAAAAAAAGACGTATAGTGCATTGTTAAAGGTATCTGAATTGGCATGTTCCAATTATTTGTATTTAACGCAGTTTTAAAGTCCTATAAATATTACCATTTTATAGTGAAAAGAGCTGTTTACTATTATTGTTAGTCACTAAAAGTTCTCATGATTATGACCCTCACAAAACCCCAGATATTTTAAATGTCCCAAGTCTTCATTGTTTTACCATTTAAATTTCTATTATTTAACTTCAAAACAATTGATGACATTCTCTCTCAAAATGTACAGAGACTTTGTAATGTTGGGGCTCCTTTACCTTTAGCCAGCACCATTTGTTGTAAATATATTTACCAGTTTAATTCAGTAAGTTCAATTTCCAAATATGTGAATCCAAAATATTCTTGTAGAATACACCAGTGATTTATTTAATGCTTCTCTATGTTGGTATTGTAAAAAGAAATATCTTCCTGATGTATACAATGTGAGTTTATTGGAGACAGAGTAGTTGCCCTCTAGGCAAGGACTGTATTATGTTGTTTCACAAAACGCTCTCTTGTGCTATTCATGCTAACTACAGAATGAATTTAAAGAGAAGTGTCTAGGACATTCTCCTTCCTTGAGTGGGAGTCATTTTTTAAATTTGTGGAGATGTACCATGTACTCATTTATAAAATGTCTCATTTCATTTTTGAGGAATTCAGGTTAGAATGCCAGCCATACAATAGTATGAGGAGCATAACTGGCATTAAGGCATGCACTTAAGCAATAGAAGAATTTCCTTTTCAGTGTCTTCCAAGGTCCATGAGGATGCACACTTATTTACCCAGAGAGTATGGATCTCACTATGTTTGTCCAGAGGGTGTGACTCTGTGGAGGAGAACACTTACTGGTAAGTGTCAAACTCTTATCGTCTTATTTTTCAGAAAAATATGTTTAGAAATCAGTTGATTTTTAGCAGTGATAAAATCTCTTAGTCTGTGCTGGTTTCTTAACAGTGGACAGTCCCAGATGTTGAAGTCAGCACAACAGGAGAAAAACCCAAATCCTGATAAGACTTGAGGATTTTTCGAAAATTAAATGCAAAATAGTTGGGGCAAATGTTGCTGCGGGAGTCAAGACTAAGTAATGCAGTAAGAAGATATGAAGTTGGAGAGCTTCTCATGTTCTTCTTTTGCATAAAGTTTGCATACATACAAAACCCAAGACTCTAATGACTTAAAAGGGGGCAGAATTACATCTCTTGGAACTTAAAACAGCAGACTCATGTGAACCGGAATGTACACTGTGGCCCTCACAATATATTTTAATATTTCCTGCAAAGTACTTTCTGTTTCTTAATAAAAGCTGTGTTCTACAACCTGTAAGTGATCTATATTGGCCACATCAAATCTTTTAAGAGTGTTTTCCAAATCCAGAATGGTTAGTGTGGAAGAGATGTTTGCTTTTAAAACAGGGAGATATGGGAGGGCTGATTTCAGAGACTATTTGCTGCTTTTGCTTTACACCTATCATTCCTTCTCTTTTTCTTTCAGCCAAGAACTCTTAAGATATGTAATTGACTGTTGGTTGAAAAACTTTGTAAAAGTACACTTGTGTGTGTGATACAAAAGTCTGAACATGTGGTAGGGGTTTCTGGGAATTAACCATGCTGCTTAAACATTTGCCACAGTGAAGCCACCATCTGATCTCCCGTACTACCACGTGAAGGATTGGGATTGATTTAAGCCATGCCTTAATAAATGATGAATGGAAGTACAGAATCCACGAGGAAGAATTCAGTACTTAGCTCTGGCATCAGGCAGACAAAGATTAAGTTTTAAGAGTTGCCAGTCACTGGCTTGCTGGCCTTCAGCAGAATATCGACAACTCCAAGTCTGTTTCTTTAGCTATAGAATAATAAACATGTTATCTCCTGGAATAATGACTGGCCATGGTGCCACCATATGAATCAAGAAGTCTGGGTACTTGGTATGCATCATGGTTGCAGAGATGCTGGGGAAGAAGATAGCAGGAACATCTTATTGACGTGATAGAGGATTGAGTGCATTTGTGCGGATCCATTTTTGTTTTGCCTTGTGTCTAATTCTACCAATCCATAATCTTTAGGACTCAACTCAAAATCTCTTGAGGCCACCTTTTAGGAGATGTGGAAAATATATGTGAAGGGAGAGAGCATCAAGAGCAGAACGTTTAGGTGAAAGGATGAGAGATAGTCATCTGGCAGTTACTTACTGAATGCCTGCTGTGTGCTAGGAGGCAGGGTACAGCTGTGAGTACAACAGCCAGGAACTCTTGCAGTCCTGAAGTTCATGTTTAGATGTGGGAGATGGACCATAAGCATATGATCATGTTGGATGGTGGAGATAATACACCTATAATATAAAGGAGCTACTGAGAGCTGGAGCCAGGGAGTGGCTTTCAGTATAAAATCAGGTCATTAAGGAGGAGCTCCTTGGAAAGGTAATGCTTGAATAGAGGCTTGGGAGAAATCAGGGAGTCAATCATGTGGAAATCTGGGAAAAGTGGAAAGTGGGAACAGATCTGGGAGGTCATTGAAAGGACTGGCTTTTACTGTGTGGGGTGGAAAGACCCTGGAGAGTGTTGAGCTGAAAAGTGCTGTGATCTGACTTATTTTTATAAGAATATCTCTGGCTACTCTCTAGGAACTAGTCAGTAGAGGGGAAGATATGGCGACTAGTTAACAAGTTACTGGGATAATTCAGGCTGATGGTGATGGTGGCTTGGAACAGGGTGGTGGTGGTGGAGGTGGCAAGTGGTCAGACTCTGGAGCAGGATCGGTTGGCTATCTGCAGTGAGTGAGGGTCTGAGAGGAGCTAAAGACTGGCCTCAAAGTTTTGGGGCCAGTGACTGGAAGGAGAAGGTTGTTGTTCAGCATTTACCGAGGTGAAGATTGGAAGAGGAGCAGGTTTTGGGGAAAGGTCGGTTCAAGTGTGGACAGGATGAGATTCCTATTAGATGGCCTCATGTAGAGGAGACCGGTGCATCCGGCCAGTGGTCATTATTTAAATGCTGAGTTTGCACAAGTTACTAAGTCGTGAAAGCTCTGCTTAAATGGTTTAAATTTCTGAGAAGATGGTATTACAAGTAACATTTTATAGATTAGGAAAAAATACAGAGAGATGAATTTTCTTAAGGTCACAGATACGAAACTTTGTTTTATGGCTGCAAGTTTCATGTTCTACCAACTTTATTATGTTAGTTACAAAATAGGCATTCAAGGGAAATTCCCTTAATTGACATAACTGATTGAGCAAGGTAATGCTTTTAGCTACCTTTATGTTACAAACACACACACACACACACACACACACACACACACACACACTCTCTGAGAGAAGTCGAGGTAATGTCTTTGATGAGGTTTATATGAAAGATTTTCTTTTTTTTTTTGAAAGATTTTCTTTTTTACTTTTTGATGTGTTGAAAACTAATATCTCATGTAGTTTTTGACTTTGAGTATATGTTAAATTTTTTAAAAAGTGAATGGAGATGGCTATGAATATAATTTTTAGAAACATTCTTATATTTTAAAAATTTCTTTTAAAAAGTTTACTGCATGGTAATTTACGTGCTCATCATGGTTTCAAGGGGAAAATACATTTGCACAATCTTAAGTGTATTCCTTTTTTATAGTAGAATGCATATGTTTATATTTTGAATCAGAAATACAAGTAATGAAAATACACGTGATTGTCTGACCTTTGACATTGTTGCTCTAGGAATGGTGGCAAACTGTACAATACAAATAGCAAAAATAGAAATAGAAATCTATCAAAAATCTTTACTGTATTATTTAGAGGTTTATCTATATTTATAATTTTCATTTTAAAAAGTAATGTAATCTTATTTTATTTCATAAATGCCTAAGACATTTAAACTTTTCTGTGGTGTAACAAATTAATAAGGAACAGATTAATATAGTTTTCTTAAGGTAATAATAGAAAGTACATATCCTTAAAGGTCATATAGAGATATTTTGTGAAATATAACTTTGTTTGGTTTCTCTGACCTTGGATTTTTAAAAGCTTAAGAGTTTCTGATCTCTCATCTCAGTAATAGCAAACTCTTTCTGATTATGCAGGAAGTCCTGCATGTTGCAGGAGTGGAAATGCAGTTAACAGCTGCAGTGTCGTTCCTGACCATTCTACAGGAAGAATCAGTGTCAGTTCATACATATGCCCACTCCTTTCTCCAAGTCATCCTGCTACATCTGGAGCACAGGGACACAGGTCAGCAGCCTGGTGTGCTTCATTCTTTACCTATTCATTGTGTCTTGGATGCGGCTGTGATGTTTTTTGAATCTTGTTAGCCTGATGAGGATTACTGAATGAGGCCATGCTGCCCAAGAGTTAATCATTACTGTGACTTAAATCAGCCACGGCTCTTTCCTTACAAAACCCACAAAGTTCAGTGTCCTTAAAAGCGGAAGACTCATCTCATTAATTCGTCTTATGATCTATACTTTCTTCTTAGAATTTTTGAATTTTACAATATTTGTGTGTATAGTATTGTACAGCAAAAAATACACATTTTGGCTGAAAGGTACTCCCCCCATATTATTTTTAAAGATATAAATGTGTTCTAGATGTTGGCTAAGGAAAAAAATAAGGGAACCTCTTCAAATACTGATAAAAATAATAATCCCATTTTATCATTAAATATTGTTGTAACTTAATGACTGAGTTGAAACAAAATTTGTGGGCATTTAATTTGGCACTTTTTTTCTGTGTCAATCAGGTGTCAGCAATGCATGGCTTGAGACTCTTCTGTCTGTGATAGAAGTATTGCCCAAAGAAACCCTAAGACATGAGGTAATACTTTTTTTTTTTTTAGTAGATACTATTAAGTGAGTCACTCTAAGGTTTTTTGTTTTCTTTAAAAATATATTTAGAAAGAAAATAAGTTTATTTTCTACTCTGAAAGTGATGCATGTTCATTATAAAAATATGAGTAATACAGAAAATAGTAGGAAGAAAAATCATGGTTCTGGACTTAACCTAAAATCTGAAATATCATTTCAGATTTTTCCCCTACACACCTTTTTTGTTTGCCATATTAGTAATCATGTTGAATTTACATATGGTAATTTTTCACTTAGCATTATTTTTCTATGTTATTTTAAACTCCATAGTAGTATATATAAAATATTTTACTTGTTAAACATTTAAGCCTGTTTTCAGTATTTTGTTATAAATAAGGCATTAATGAGCATCTCGGTAGAGCTTTTTAAGTTTTTTGGATGATTTTCTTAATTGTAGATTCCAGAAAAGTAGAATTAGTAGAGGATTTTCATACTCTTAAGACTCTTACTAGCAATATGTGAAAATTCCTGTTTCCCTAGACCTTAACAATAGTGTTCCAATTTTATTTACTAATTTAGATTTTTTTTTACTTATTCATTTGAGAGAGACAAAGTGAGAGCATAGGCAAGGGTGAGGGTCAGAGGGAGAAAGAGGGAGAGGGAGAAGCAGACTCCCCACTGATCAGGGAGCCAGACACAGGGCTTGATCCCAGGACCCCAGGATCATGTGCTGAGACAAAGGCAGACACTTAACTGACTGAGCTACCCAGGTGCCCCAGTAGTGTTCCAATTTAGTTTTCTGTGCCAAAAAATTGAATTATATTTTAATTGGAATTTTTTTATTATTATGCTGTTGAACATTTTTTCATATATTTATGTCAATTCTATTCTTTTGGAATTGTCTGATCATATTGATCACTGTTTATACATGCTGTTTGTCAAGGTTGTCAATCTTTTGTTATGTTTGTTGCCAATATTTTTACTAATTTATTGTTTGTTCTTAAACTTTTAACACAGTTCATTATACCTATCTAAAAGTTTTAGTAGGGGATCCCTGGGTGGCGCAGGGGTTTGGCGCAGGGGTTTGGCGCCTGCCTTTGGCCCAGGGCGCGATCCTGGAGACCTGGGATCGAATCCCACGTCGGGCTCCCGGTGCATGGAGCCTGCTTCTCCATCTGCCTGTGTCTCTGCCTCTCTCTCCCTCTCTGTGTGACTATCATAAATAAATAAAAAATTAAAAAAAATAAAAGTTTTAGTAAATTAAAATGAAGGAATGAGAAAATTAGAAAGGAAATTTCTTCTCTGATGAAATGATTTTTCATTCTTTGAACAGCATCCCAATATTCTTTTCAAATATATCATGGTTGAAAAAAGTAGTTAATTGTCAGTGAAATGTCCTCTATATACTTCGTACACTGTTTTTGTCCTACTTTGCCCACATATGGTTTGTGGTCCTATCTTAGTGCCAGAATACTTGTTTGAAAATGGAAGATTTACCCAGCTATGAGACTGTTTGTAAACTTAATGCCAAACATCTAGATGATTACACATATTTAAGTGTTGTATTTAATGTTGACATAGTTATTTATATTTTTTGAAGAGTGCTATATAGTAGATTGCAGTTTTTACTCTAGAATGCCATATATTATTTTATGTGATTTTTAATGCACAGTTTATTTTATTTCACATCTTCAAGTTTTAAATTACAGTTACCATTATGTATTCAGCATTTCTGGCTACTTTTTTGAGAGGTAAAAAACCAGTTGACTTTTTTATTAGAGTCCTACAGTTTTAGAACTTGGAAGGTTCTTGGTGTGACATATTATTATTAAAATTGTATTTGTTATTTAAATTCAGTTAATTAGCATATAATGCATTATTGGTTTCAGAGGTAGATGTCAGTGATTCATCAGTCTTATATAACACCCAGTGCTAGTACAGCATATTCTAATTTCCATTTTCATAGATGAGCAGCATGGGACCAGAAATAGCAAGATTACATGGACAGATTAAAGAATGGAGGCCAGAATCAGGATTGGATCTTCATAGTTCCTCACAGTCTGTCATGCCGTTGCATTTTTTAGTGCCCAGCATTGCATAATACAGTATCAGAACTGCATCCAAATGACAGAAGTACTTAGTAGAATCTATTTGAAGCTATATTGTTTTGTATCCATTTAGGATCAATATAAAAATTTTATATGGAATAAAAATAAATTTCAGACTATGTGATAATTTGCTTTTTTTCTTTTGAAAATGTACATTTCCCAACAATACTTTACATGCATACAGATCACTGCCGAATTCACCATAAGCTTTAATTCAGTTTTTATGTGCCTGATTGGTATTTAATTATGTAATTTATCATCACCTTTACCTTAATAAGCCAGAGGCAAACAAGGTGATTCAGGTTATGAGCAACCTCACATTTTAATTCAGGTTCCTTAAAAACATTTGGGACCTTAAAATATTCCTTGAGGAAAATAGCTGACATTAGTGGTAAGAATATATAAAACTTTGTGAATTTGTTCTCTAAATCTTTTCTCTTTAGATTTTGAACCCACTTGTTTCCAAGGCACAGCTTTCCCAAACAGTCCAGTCTCGTTTAGTTAGTTGTAAAATTTTAGGAAAATTGACCAACAAATTTGATGCCCATACGTGAGTATTTGTATATAATTTTTGTCTACTTTATTCAATTAAATTGATTTAAAATGTATGATGGTCATATGATTAACAATTATATTAGACTTCTATCGTTCCATACTGCATACAAGCTTAGCTATTTTAACTTTATAGAATTCTTGGAAGTCTACTTGTTCAGATGCATTTCCTCTGATCTCATGGTGTTTCAAAATCAATATGGTTAAATTTTTTTCTATTTCTCATCTTAGTCTTATCTGTCACACACCTAGTGTAGTTTTTGAGCATAAAATGAGCATTCTATATATAGAATATATATATATATTCTATAGACTTCAAAAATTGTTCAAAGCTGACCTAAAGATGGACTTTCTGATTTCTTCCATTATTGTTATGAATTTATTATTTTGAATGACTTACCTTATTTTGAGATTTGTATGGAGAAGCTATTCTCTGCCCAGATGATAAATACCAAGTGAAAAGAAAGGAATGTTGTATAATTATGGCATAAGAGTAAAATATAAAATTGAAGCATATTTTGGTTGATGGTTGTTAGACATTCCATTTGCCTATAACCTTTCATCTTAGCTGTTTAACTGTCAATCCAAAATTAACCATTACTTTAAAAAGACCCAGACATATATATAATTTACAGGTAACAAAAGATAACATCCAAATGGGATGACATATGTAAAAATACCTTGTAAACTATAAAGCTTCCTATTAAGGTATATTTGTTGTTATTAAGCTAACTAAGATTTTGATGATAATTATTTGAAAATTTTAAGTATTCTAAAACACCCATTTGCATATTCCTTTTCTTCCCTTCTAAGCATTAAAAGAGAAATACTTCCTCTGGTAAAATCACTGTGTCAAGATGTAGAATATGAAGTTCGGTCTTGTATGTGTCGGCAATTAGAAAACATAGCTCAGGGCATTGGGTAAGTATACTTTCAATTCCTTATGTCATATTCTTATTTCTGGATTTTCATATGCATATTCTGTTCCTGTGTTCCATGGGAGTGTGCTGTTGAAAGGCTAAATTTTATATGATCTTTAAAAGTGATCGTAACAAGTACCTACTGATGTGTCTGGATTAAAAGAGATTAAAGTAAAATGCTTATTAGATTTACTTCATGTTAATTTCTTTTTCACCTTAAGTTGTTTAGTAAGCATCCTAGATTCAGGAAGGGAAAATGTCCTGATATAAAGCATGTTTGCACTATTACAGTAGCTCTTCTTTGGGCTAGCAGCATATTATTGGGTAATCTTAGATGGGATTACTCAGTGGAAGTCTTTGTTTCCCATACAACTCTCGCTTCCACTGCCTATTATGTTGCTTTTCTTGTCTTTTGGATATGTGAAGCTCAGGGAAGAGACACATAGGGCAGATAGTCTTTTCTCTTCATCCATAAAAACTGATCTTGTGTCAAAGTAGATTAAAGGAAATTTTATCTAAGAAACACTCTGGGAAATGGTTTCTTTTAAAAGAACCTAAATTGATACAAAAAACATCAGACCTCTCATTTTTAGTAGAAGTTGCGTTGTTTTCACCTGGTTATTTGTTTCACAAGCAAGGACAATCAGGTTGTTGCCATTTGCACAGTTGTTAATAAAAAAATTGGGGACCAGCATTTAAGGCTTTAGAATTGCTTCAGAATGTCACACAGATTCAGGTCCTCTGTCTTGTCCACCTTGCTGAGTTGGATTTAAGTGTGCAGGAAACTTAACATTTCACTTTTTTTTAAATTTATTTATATGATAGTCACACAGAGAGAGAGAAGCAGAGACACAGGCAGAGGGAGACGCAGGCTCCATGCACCGGGAGCCCGATGTGGGATTCGATCCGGGTCTCCAGGATCGCGCCCTGGGCCAAAGACAGGCACTAAACCGCGGCGCCACCCAGGGATCCCGAAACTTAACATTTCAACAGAGTAATCATTTCTTTAATTTTGATTTCAGAACCATCTTCTTTCTGATAAATCTTCAAAGGCTAGGGTGACTCTGGATCATTGTGGACCATAAATAATTCAGTTTTGCCCAATTCTGTGTTCCTTAACCAGGATCAGAACCTATCAGGAGAATATGCTGTTGTCTTTTGGGGGGGTATTCCATTTTTTTGTCATCTGACATTTTACCACTGTTAAAAACAGCCTGATCAGTAGGGTGCCTGGGTGGCTCAGTTGGTTGTGTCCGACTCTTGATTTCAGACCAGGTCATGATCTTAGAGTCCTGAGATTAAGCCCTTCATCAGGCTCCCTGCTCAGTGGGGAGTCTGCTTGGGATTCACTTGCTCCCTCTGTTCTTCCTCCAGCTCACACTCTCTATATCTTCCTAAAATAAAGAAATAAAATCTTTAAAAACAAAAAACCCTAAAAAGCTCAGCCTGGTCAAGTGTGTTTCAGTTAGTCTTTTGAATAATATAGCATTATTGCTTAAAGATTAATTTACAAAAAGCAAAACTACAATCTACCTGGCTTGTTAACTTAGAATTCACTTAGAAAGTAATTTACCTGATTAAATGCCTATTCATTCACTTTTGAATTCTCACATACTATTAGAACATAATCATAGGACTTTCATGGTATATAGGCTGAATACGACTAAGATCTAATTCATATTCTTTATTATCCCTTTGATAAATACATAAAACTAAAGATAGGTACACTGTTCTGTTTTTTTTTTCTTTTGGCATTGGAAATCAGGACTGTTGATAAGATCTGATAACCACAAACAAGAATTTCCTAATTCAAGGATAGAAGAATCCCTGAGATGGGTAAAAGGAGGTGGGAAGAGATATTTCAGAGATGGCTACTGATTTAAGAGAGAGACTGCCCACTACTGCACTGGAAATTGTGTTCTACGGCAAAACCCTCCTTGGGAAGAGGCCCAAGAATAGTACAGATCTGGGTTTGTAATTCTCCATTTGCTGTGGCCGGCAAGGGAACAATTACTGACCACTTTAATCAGCAATGAGCACCAGAAACTGTTATTCATTAATAAGATAATCAGGAAGCAAAATTATGAGATTCTTGTCAAGCTAGCATAGCCATATGAAATAAAGGCTACACAACACTAGAAGGCTGGCTATGGGTTGTGCACAGCTTAGGGTCAAAGAGGACAGTTTTCAGAATAGTATAAAGAATAGTATAATGAAGAGGTCACGCACATTTGTTTATAGAAAAACAACTGTATGGAATGGACCCAGTACAGGGGTGACTAAAGAGAAAAAACCCCACAAATGTGGGATGTACAAAAAGATCCTTTAGTGTTAGAGGGGAAGAACCTTCCCTCAGCATCCAGATTGGAAAGGAAGAACATACTTTTGAAGAGGTTGATCAACACTTCTAATTCTGGTGATACAGCAAATAAGATAACCTGAAAAATGGCCCCATTATGAATATCTGACAAAATTCAATATCCATTCAAGATAAAAACTTTCAGGAAGCTAGGAGTGAAGTGAACTTCCTCAATCTGATATACGGCATATATGAAAACCCTATGGCTAACATTATAGTTAATGGTAGGTATTGAATGCTTTTCCTTTAAGGTAAGAACTAGTCAAGGATAGTTTTTTCAATTCTATTCCACACTGTACTGGAGGTTTTAGCTATTGAAATAAGGCAAGAGAACAAAAACCTTAAAGGTTTAAAGATCTGAAAGGAAGAAGTAAAAGGATTACTACTTACAGATAACATCATCATTTACGTAGAAAGTCCTCAGTAATTTACAAAATGGTTAGGACTAATAAATGGATTTAAAGATGTTTTAGGATATATACAAAAATTTAGATCAATGGAATGGAAAAGAGTCCAGAAATAAACCCACATATATGTAGCCAGTTGACTTTCAGCAGAGTGCCAGAGCGATTCAGGGAGGAAAATCTTTTTGAAACCCAGTAGTGGGATAACTGGATATTCATGAAACAGTGAATATTGATCCTCACCTCACACCATACATAAAGACTGATTTGAAAATTATCAGTTCCTGAATATAATCAAATCAACAGCTTTCCAATCTGACATGATGTAATATTGCTGATTGGCATTTACTTAAAAGTTAAACATCTCCTTTATGACCTAGCCATTCTACTTTTAATTATTTATGCAAAGAAGTGAAAATACATGTCCTCAACAAGAATTAGATTATATATACATGTTTATTGCAGTTTTGTTTATAATAGCCCAAACTGGAACAATCTAAATGTCTAACAATAGGTGAAGGGAAAAATAAAATGTGGTTATGTTCATACAGTGAACATATTTAGCAAGAAAAAGAAATGTAGTACTGATACATGCAATATAACATCATGGGTACATCTCAAAATCAGTATGTTAAGGGAAATAAACCAGCATATGCTATATGATAAATACAAACTGAGTGATAAAAAGCAGACCCACAATTTACCTTTGTCAGAAGCAGATTGTAGAATTCAGATATAATGGGATTGATGATTGGTTCTTGTCCTCTGCCCATAATTTTTGTCTTTTGTCAGATTAGAAGGTCATTGGGATCCCTGGGTGGCACAGTGGTTTGGCGCCTGCCTTTGGCCCAGGGCGCAATCCTGGAGACCCGGGATCGAATCCCACGTAGGGCTCCCGGTGCATGGAGCCTGCTTCTCCCTCTGCCTGTGTCTCTGCCTCTCTCTCTGTATGACTATCATAAATAAATAAAAAATAAAAAAAAAGATTAGAAGGTCATTGATGAAGGGGAGCCATGTAGGGGTGGGCTAAGCAAGAACAGTAGAGGAAACTTCACCTTCTTAAAAAAGAGATGGGGATGATTAGGTCCCCAGTATTTCTTTAAGCCTAGGCTTCTTAAAATAGGCCAGTGGAAGAGGAACAAACAAATGAGAAGTTTCCTTGAATTGCTGTTGCTGTCCTGGCCAACCATTGAACTCAGTCAGGATCATCTTCATCAGTATCTAGCTTGAGGAGATAAACCACCATCAGATGACATAGCCAGCACCTGGGTAGATTTGTTATCATGCAGCAAGACCCCAGAATTGCAGGTTGGCTCTCTGGGCAAGCTTGCTTATTTCATCCATCTTGTTATCCCTCACCCTGTATTTTACACACCTCTCCCCTTCTGACATCATGAAAAGGTTATATTGTAACTGGTGGTTATATTTATTGACTAATAAAACTGGACTTCTACGCAAATAATAGGATCAGGCTGTCCTGATTTTTGTTCCGAACACTTAAATGCCAGAAGAGTTTTTAGTAGAAAGGATAATGACCTAGAATTCTGCCCAAACCGGGCTGGAGTTTACATGTAAAGTTAAGAAAAAGATACTCTCATATCATCATAGGCAGTGTACAACCCGTATCTATTTCCTGAAAAAGTTACTCAGCTATAATCCAGTTTGTTTAGAGGAACTGAGAGAGAATATTTGTAATTTACATGTGTGGGTCTGCCATGATGCCTTATTTCCACATAACTTTTATAATGTGACAAATGGGCAAAGAAAACAAATACATACTTCATAAGGAAGAAATACAAATGTCTAATAAACAGATTCAACTTCATTATTCAACCTCATTAGTTGTGGAGAGATGTACTTATTGAATGCATATATATAGAGCATCTATTGTAAGCACTGGATTAAATATGGGGGATGTAGGGACACCTGGGTGGCTCAGTGGCTGAGCTTCTGCTTTCAGCTCAGGGCATGATCTGGGGTCCTGGGATCGAGTCCCTTGTTGGGCTCCTTGTGGAGAGCCTGCTTTCTGCTCTGCCTATGTCTCTGCCTCTCTCTGTGTGTCTCTCATGAATAAATAAAGATCTTAAAATATCTATGTCTATGTCTATATATATCTATATATATGTAATAATGAAAAAGCACCTGTCTTCCAGGTGCTTAGAGCTTGATAAGAGATGTAGTCAAGTAGACAACTATTGAATAATATGTGATATTTACAAAAACAATAGGGATGCTACTTTTGCCAATGAAATTTGAAAAGTTAATGATAAATGTTTAGTGTTAGCAAAGGTCTACAGAACATCTTCACCCTACTGGGAGAAACATAAACTTAGAGTCCTTTTGAGTTCTACAACATAGGAAAAAAAGTTTGCTTATCTTTTACCTATATTCCATTTTTAGAGATGAGTCTAAGGAACTAGTTTATATTAAAGTTTATAAATAACAAGTATACTCTTAGATAATATTTACTCTGTGTGAGATATTGTTCCAAGTGTTTCACATAGATGAACTTTATTTATATCCTCACAACCATCTGTTGGATGGATAGTATCATTATTCCTTTTTTACAGATGGGGAAGCTGAAGCCCAAAGAGGATGTTATATAATATGAACAGGATTGAAGTCTGGAAGGCCATACATTATCAGAAACTTTCAAGTTTCTCTAAGTAGAGGGCTATAGGTCATTTTAATTTTTATACTGCTTATGTTTTTAAAATTTTGATAATGAACATAAAAAATGCTATTTTAATACATAGTACAGTAGTTTTTAGTGGCTTTATCATAGTTGGAAATGAGAAATCCTCATCTGTGTTGGTGGGTTGAAATTGAAATGTACCTGTTAACCACTAATGCAATACAGATTTGATTTATTCTCTTTGCCTTTTTAGCATCAAGAAATCATTATACAGTTTATTAAAGACCTGCTTCTGATTATCTTTAACACTTAGATAATTAAGTTGGGATTGCATCAGTGTACCACTTTTGGGGAGAAAAGAAAAGTCTGTTGAAAGATTGAATAGAAATAACTTTTGACTGTATATAGGGATGAAATCTTAAACGATTGTCTTTCATTCTTGATAAATTCAAGGTTTTCAGTGGTATACAAATACTTTTGAGGAAGATTTGTATGAAATAAATTTTTGTGACCTTTGGGCCAGAATGTATTCTTATCTTTTCTCCTCCTTCACCTCCTCTGTCTACTTCCTCCTATGTTTGATAAATGTTGAACTACTGGTCATGCTAACACCTGTATCTGTGATCTAGATTCACTTCTTTTTCTTCCCCTTCTCTTAGCCTAATGCTAAAGAAATGGGTATTGGTGATTTTCCTGGCAATTTACTCAAAATCTCGCATGAGTATTTTATATTGAAGAATAAGTACTATTTAGAAGAAAATTTTTATTGAGGTATAATTGACATATTAGTCATTTCACATGCATAAAGATTTGATATTTGTACACATTGTAAAATGATTATCATAGTTAAGTCTAGTCATCACCTATCACATAGTTACAGAATAGTTTTTTCTTATGGTGAGGACTTTCAAGATTTATTGTTTTAGCAACTTTCAAATATGTAACACAGTATTGTTAACTCTAGTCACTATGCTATACATTTCATTCCCATGCCTTATTAGTAACTGAAAGTTTGTACCTTTTGACCATGTTACCTCCTTTCATAGATTAATTTCTTAAAAACGGTTTTTGGCCCTCTGCTCACTCAAGTCCTTAGAGCTCTGCTGTCCAGTATGGTAGCCACTAGCCATGTTTGGCTATTTAAATTAAGTATAATAAAATTAAAACTTCAGTTCCTCAGTTATACTGACCTTATTTTAAATGTTCAGGAGCCACATGTAGCTACTCTACAGATTATAAACATTTCCATCATCACAGAAACTTCTGCTTGGCAGGGATGTCTTAGAGTCTTTGTGCTCTGCCCTGAATTTTTTAAGGTTTTCTGCAGCTCCTATTGACTTTCTTGTACTCTATCAAATTATAATTCATACCATCTTCAATCAAGTGGTCAAGAAAGCTGGCTACCTTATATGCCTCTCCTCTATCAGTGTATGTCATTGTAATAACGTCTTATCATGGTGAATAAGCAGAATCTTAAAGTCTTGAATAAGAACCATTTGTGACTGTATTATAAATGTTGTATATCCCCTGAAAGCATGTACATTGTGTCTTGTTCTTTTAGAGGAAGCATCTGGTATCATATATCATTCTTCTATATAGAAATTAGTTCCTGTAATAATATATTTGGAGTGAATGAAAAAATTCTTTAACCCTTTAAATCTAGATAAAAAGATTTTGTTAAGGTTTCTATAATCACTGCTGTAAAGTTTTTCTAATTAGTCCAGATCATTGACTGGTTGCTTAAAATGGAAAACCATGTTAAAATTTATAAAGTTTAATATACTTCTAGTCATTAGGATCTCTGTAGGTAATAATATTATCCTGGTGGAACTAGAATTGTTTAAGTAATTATACAATTACTGTTAATGTTTCTTATCACGCTTTTTATCCAGATTGGAAGCTTCTGGGGAGCAGGAGCCATGTCTTTATGATTTTTCCTATTTTCTACAGCACCTGGCACCATGATTTGTTCTTAATAAGTTCTTGTTATAGTTTACTGAATTGATTTATTTTCTTCTGTTGCTCACTGTGCAGGACAGAACTTACAAAAAGCGTGGTGCTCCCTGAACTAATAGAACTCTCTAGGGATGAAGGCAGCAGTGTGCGGCTTGCAGCTTTTGAAACTTTGGTTAATCTACTTGACGTATTTGATACAGGTACATCTTCATGTGGACACATCTTTGCTTCTGGGTTGTGAATTCAAGCCCTGCATTGGGCTCTATGCTGGGTATGGAGCCTAATTTTAAAAAAATCAATTAACTTCTTAAGGAAGGGTCTTCTAAGAAGTCAAGGTGAAGAAATTCAGTAAATAGGCTCACCGAAAGTCTGAGCCCCTCCATCTGGCATCAAAATTTTTGATGATCTCAACTCTCTTCTCAGTGCTGCTTCTCCCACACCTCCCCCACCAATGCTGGCAGATATTTTCTGTTACTGTATGGCTAACAGAGTAATTTTTCTTTCTGGAATCTGTGTGTATGTCTTAATTCTACTTGTGTGGGTAACTAGATCTAAAGTCTTTTCTTTTGTTTTCCAGATGACAGGAGTCAAACCATACTTCCCTTAGTGAAATCATTTTGTGAAAAATCTTTCAAAGCAGATGAATCAATTCTTATTTCCTTATCTTTCCATTTAGGAAAACTATGCCATGGACTATATGGTATGATATATCTTAAGAATTTTAAGATTGTAGATAATTTTTTCCTTTTTGGGGGCACGTGGGTAGCTCAGTGGTTGTACATCTGCCTTTGGCTCAAGTCATAATCTCAGGGTCCTGGGACCATCAAGTTCCCTGCAGGGAGCCTGCTCCTCCCTCTGCCTATGTCTCTGCTTCTGTGTATCTCTCATGAATAAATAAATGAAATCTTTTAAAAAATATTTTTTCCTTTTTCTTTTACCCCAGCCATTAAATTTCAGCTCTCTAGTTATAAAACCTATCCTTTAAGTGTGCGAAATCATAAGAGGCCTTAGATTTTTGATAGCATAATTTAGAACACATTTAAGAATGACTTTTCCTCTAATAGAACCTATTTGAAAGAATAGCAACATAATCAAGTAGGCCTGGCCTTTTAAATTTCTGAATATTTTATATTTATGTATCAGTTGACATATAATAAAAACTCAATTGACTATTGGTACATAGTAAATATACCCTTATTAACTATTTGTTGGATAATTAATGTATCATGTGAGCAGTTCAGCTTAGAATTTAACATAATACTCACAATCTGGCATCTTGAACATATTACCCAGTTCTTAGCTTACTATAATAATGTAAGCATAAATTAAGTTACAACCATCTGGCATAGTAAAACATTTTAAAAAATGTATATTGTAGACTGTTAACAGGCTATTGAAAATAAGTACTGCAATATATGGTGAGTTCCCAGCTCCCTAACATAGTTTATGAATGTGGAATCAGTCCATTGATAAAAATATTTCAAGTTTACTTTGCTATCTTTTAGATCAAGTTTTTAAGTACCTTCTTTGCAGAAACATAGGTATGTCTTTTCTACAAACAATTTTAGAATATTTATGATAAGTAAATAGCTTTAATGACCCCGATATATTATTATTGTAGTGGCTTGTTAGTGGTCTGTGGTATGATACATCCTGCAGAAATTAATGCAGTTGTAATTTTTGCATTGCATAGTTTATACTATCAAAATTAAGTTATTGTGAAAATTGACATGAAGTGAAACAATAGATCCATTAGATTGCTTCATAATAGGTATTCTTTCCTCGTTGTTGCTTTTATTTATGATCTTTAGCCATTTATTTGAATATGTGGTTCCAATTATATATGTATTGTACCTTGCTTTTCTCTTTGTTTTTGTTTTCAGTTAGAATGTTGAACACAAGTTTTACATTTGTTTTAGGAATCTTTACTCCAGACCAACACTTGAGATTTTTGGAGTTTTATAAGAAACTCTGTACATTGGGTTTGCAACAAGAAAATGGACACAATGAAAATCAGATTCCACCCCAAATCCTGGAGCAGGAGAAGAAATATATTTCAGTACGGAAGAACTGTGCTTATAACTTCCCGGTAATAAATTATGTATTTGAACTGACTAAACATTTTGATTATAACTTTAAAATATATGAATAGATAACATTTAAAAATGTGGCCATATTTGACACCTGCTGCTTAATTAGCCTTATATCTGGCATATACAGGAGGTACTAAGTAATATTGGTGTAATTTATGTTTGTCTTTATGTATAAATTAGAACTATATGCATGCATCTGGACCTTCTAAATATGATCTCTGTCTAAATTATTATTCAGAGGACATGATTTCAATATAAATGAAATGATTATAATATTAGGTATTGATGCATGTTTTTCTCTCCTTCCCATTCATCTTCTCCCTTCCACCTCCACCAGGCCATGATTGTTTTTGTTGATCCTAAAAACTTCCACCTGGAACTCTATTCTACATTCTTCTGCCTTTGTCACGACCCTGAAGTACCAGTCAGATACACTATTGCTATTTGTTTTTATGAAGTAAGTCTGAAGAAGTGATACTACTTTATGTTTGTTGTTAATTCCACCCATATATGCTAGATGATTTTTTTTATATTGTGTATACTTCCATTTATAAAGGTTTATTACAAGATATTGGCTCCATATGTCTTTAATATTGTAGTCCTAAATGTTAAGATTCCCATAATTCTCTTAATATGTTTATGGAATTCATTTACATAAGCATATTATAATCATTTATCATGTATTAGTCCGTTCACTCCATATATCTATACTGAGTGCTTACTTTTAAGTCAGAGATTGTGGTGTAAATATGGGTGTTGCAGCTTTGGAAGTAAAATCAGTTTTTATATGCTTTGCAATATTTATTCTTGACTTTGCATCTAAATTCAAGACCCTAAGAATAAATGGAAAATTGAGAGATTATTTAAATTTATTATTTTTACTGCACATGGATCATGTTTCATGAACATAGCTGTTAGGTTCAGCTATTACAACAACTGTCTGTAATGTAAGAGCCAAAAGTGAATTTAGACTTTTATGACGGATTAACTGTGTAACACTTGAGGTTGAAATTTGGATATGTGTCTTAGATGATCCCAGTAAGCATATGTATGCTCTAGTGCAGTAAATGTATAAAGTATAACTTACCAACTTTAAAATGTAAATATATCTTTATAAATAGCATAATAAATTATTTCCTTTCTTTATAAGAAATATCTATTCTTAGTCTCAGTGAGAAGATTTCAGCCACTTCCTTGCTGTGTTCTTACAGCAGAGCATCATGAGATTAGGTGAAAGTGTACAAGGTATCTATAGCATCATTATTATGTTGCTTAAGACTAGGAAATATTTCCTTAAAAGATGTAGTTAATTAAAATAATAATTAAAATAATTCCAATGTTGCACAATTCACTCATCTTTGTAAATATACCTATAGAAATATGTTTTTGGAGAAGGGGAAACAACAGAGGGCACTGACTAGCTGAGTGAAATAACTGTTTCCATTCTACATTAAGTGGGCATTTAGCCTTGGTTGTTGTGTGTGCTTGTATTTGTTAGATGAATGGTCTCTAGAGATGGTTTCATAAGGTTAGTGTCTGAGAACACAATATTAATACAGCATTAGAATTTTTACTTATGTTTATCTCATCCCCTTAATATTTCATTTCTATTTGTGTTTTATAGTGGGCATAATATGTTAACACCCTATACATAAACATCTTGAAATGTGTACTTAAAAATACTTCACTGTTAGAAGTGAGTTTGGAGATTGTTGATATAGCTCCTTGCTGGGTGGCTAGTTGCCATATTTTCTCAATCAGGCCATGTAGGTAGGCTTTTATTGATACTCCACAAAATAGGTTGTAGTCTAGGTTTATCCTCTTGAATAGTGAAAATTCGCTAGTGGGTTTAAATTTTTCTCACAGTGTTACTATAAAATTCTGATACTTACATTACTATGTTCTAACTTTATTCTTGTTTTTCAGAAATATATTATTTTGAAAATATTTTGAAAAAGTCAGAAACAACCCTGTAGAACAAAGGTTTTTTTTAAACTCTGTCTTTATTCAGGAAACTTTTCCCCCCCCTCAAATAAAAACTTACCCAGAGGCCCAATATGTAAAACAAAACAAAACCCAAAACCCTAAAACAAATTCCCTCAAAAAAACAAAAAAGAAAGGGAAATAAAAAAGTGAAGTAGAAACTGGTGAATTTACAATTGTGGGTTCCGAGTTTACTTAAGGAAATAAAACAAACCTGTTCACAGGGGAGCTAAATAAGACAGTTCCAGCTCCTCTTGTGCTGATTAAAGTCTTTGATGGGAAAAATCTTGGATGTCTTGCTTGCTCAGGAGTGTCCCCCCCCCCCCCGCCCGTCCCTGTGTCACACGGATCTTCTGTAGTGCTTCCCCTCTTTAGGAGGCACTGAACCGAGATGAATGCTTATATGCCTGCAATGTCCTGTAAGACCCTCTTGGCTGCTGTTAAGAGTTTAAAATATGAGCTAGAGATGTCCTTGGACTTATTGCTTGTGATATGAAAATTGTGACTCAGATAAATCCATCTTGTTCTTTATACACCCACGTGGGCACTTACTTTCCCACCCTGTGTGTCCATGCTCCAGAGTATTAAAAAGCTGTTTTTCTGTGTACTTTTTTTTTTAGAAATCTAATTTTCATATTTATGTTGTAACCTAGTTTCCTTTTAGAGGAAGCATCTAACAGGCATGTATTTTATAAAATTATTATAACCTTTAGTTGTCTAATAGTTTTAAATCTGAGAGACTTTATTGCTCCTTTTTAGGTATCTAAACTTCTGAATTCTGGAGTATATTTAATACATAAAGAACTAATAACATTATTACAAGATGAATCACTGGAGGTAATATCTTCTTACTCTTTGGTTTTCACTTCTTTATGTTAAGTCTGAATGTATCAATGCCTTACCCCTTCCCCCCTTCTTAGGAATTGCATTAGGTCTGTCAGCTGACTAGCCCCCAAACCATCAAGACAATGTAACATTGTATCATAGACTGTAAATTGATATAATACCATATATGTATGTTTAAATACATATGTATTTATGTATTTAAACTTATATGTATTTACATACATAAAAGCATACATAAAATACCATATATGTATGTTTGTTTATTAAGAAAAATTTAGGGGGTGCCTGGGGGTGCTTAGTCATTTAAGTGTTCTGCCTTTAGCTCATGTCATGATCTCTGGGTCCTGGGATCAAGCCCTATGGTGGACTCCTTGTTCAGTGGGAAATCTGATTCTCTCTCTCCCTTTGACCCTCCCCATGTTGTGCTCTCTCTCCCTCAAATAAATTATAAAAACCTTTTAAAAAAAGAAAAATTTAGGAAATGCCAAAAAGTAGACAAAAAAGGACACCTTTAGTTCGAATCACTGTTTCTGTTTGTTATATTTTTAAAAATCTTTTTGCTATGAAAAGATTTTTGTTTTATGCAATTGCAGTTGTATTTTATATCACATTTTATGCCTTTTTTCTCTCCTAGCGTTATTTGGGGAGTATATTTGGGGAGTTGTGGGAACTTTGAAATACTTTATTATGATGGTGCATTTAGTATATCCTATTCATCCAAATGACTACTAGCTTGCCAAGCTCAACTCATCAATATTTACACATTGCTGAGGGTGTTATCCAACGTAAATTGCTTTTTAAAAGTCGAGAGGCAGTTTCTCAGCATATTGGTTGTATAGAAGTAGCTGTCTCAGATCTAAACTGTTTGAACAATATCAAGAGGCAGATCTACTAACCTCTTTTCAAAGGTAGTTTTGATCAAGGCAGTTGATTCTATTTCTGAGATGTTCTAGTAAGAAGATGGCAATGTAGGAAAATAGAAACTCCCCAAATGTTGTTTGGTAAATAATACTATTTCTGCACAGAAATTGACATATGAGGCTAATCTAAAATTAGAAAAAAGTAGTTGCTGTAACAATAATCAATAATAATCAATATCTCTATTAAAAGGTACTAGATGCTCTTATAGATCATCTTCCAGAAATCCTTGAACTTATGTCTACTGGTGGAGAAAGCAGTGTACAAGAAAATAAGGTAAATCCCATTATCAAAGAAATTCCTGAATGTTATAAGTATGATCTTACTCTACAGAGTTGTGGGGAATCAATGAGAGAACGTACAGAGAACATTTAAAGTAGTTCTTGCCCTGTAATAGCAGGTGCTTAGTAAATGTCTGTTTGAGCTTCAACAGTGTGAATTCCCCTACAATTCTTCCATTACCATGGTTCTTATTTATTGTCCTTGGAGTTTACATTCATATTTTCAGTTTTTATTAGCATTAATTATTATTCCAAGAATAGCATCTGGTGTGGACAAAAGAGTAGGAAGCTAGAAGGTCAAAATTTTCCAACAGTGAAATAGAACCAATTTTACTGTAGTTCAAAGGATGGAGTCCTATTCTCTCTTTCAAAATTTTGTTTTCTGTAAACATAAATTTTACTTACAAATTTTTTAAAACATTTGATTTTGCCAGATAATTACCTCCTTGGGGCAGCTGAGATCCTCCTAGGTTCTCAAGTGAGCGAGAATATTCCTCTTCTCAGTGTGTTGTAAGACTGAATAGTTTGGCTGAATGTTGCAGTTGATTTATTATCATCAATCCTCTGATGTGCTTTCTTTTTCAGTTATCATCTCTGCCTGACTTGATCCCAGCCCTCACAGCCGCTGAGCAGCGAGCTGCAGCCTCCTTGAAATGGAGAACTCACGAGAAGCTCCTACAGAAATATGCCTGTCTGCCACATATCATATCAAGTGATCAGATTTATTACCGTTTCTTACAAAGAATGTTCACGATCATGATGACAAATGTGAGCCCAGTACCTTTTATCTCCTTCTTTTGAACTCACATCTGATTTTGGAATTATCAAATCCTTCCCATTCTCAAGATAGTACAACAAACTCTGTTTATTCCATTTTGCCCTAGAAGGATGTTATCCTAGAAGGATGTTATCTCCCCAGGTCCTCAAGGGGGAAATCAAGTTTCCCTGTGCTTCTCCACTAATGCTTGTTTTTGAACATTTTCTGCATAGCTGGATTGAAGAATGAACAAGTGTTATCCTTACTTACCCTTTTGCCATATGTTGCCAACAAGAGTGTGAACAGACTCACTTCAAACTCAATATAGTTTTTCTCAGGAGACAGGTTGGCAGGAGTCTGTGATCTCTACTGCTAAGTCCCTTTTGCTCTGACATACACCTTTTATGTGTCGTGGTCTCAGAGCCTACCTCAGCTATGCCATATTGTCAAGATATCCTGTAAGCCCCTAAATCTTAGTGGAGTTGCTCTTTCTTTTAAAGTACCTCTAAAAAGTGGCTGTGTAATAGGGAAAGCTTATATTAAAAGCATGAAAACCTGCTGTGGATAGCCTTAAAATTAGAGTGAAAAGCAGGAAGAAAAAAAGTTTGTACTCAGAAATCCCCCAGAGAGTAAGTTGTATACCTTTTCACAAAAATTTCCAGAGGTTTATTTAACCCACAGCTCACTGTACATTTAATATGATGTCTTCCTACCCTTTTAAAGATTAAAAAAATCTTTAAGAAAATTTTTATTTATTTATTTGAGATAGAAAGAGCAGTGAGAGCGAGCGAGCTAGAGCGTGCATGAGCAGGGGAAGGAGCAGATGGAGAGGGAGAAGCAGACTCCCCACTGAGCAGGGAGCCTGATTCTAGGCTTGATCCCAGGACCTGAGCTAAAGGCAGACGCTTGACCCACTGAGCCACCCAGGTGCCCCCTTATCATTTTTTGAAATATAAAAAAGTTCTATGTAATGTGTATGTTTTAGAAGCTGTTAAAAATCACTTTATATTCTCATTGTTCTAAATAAGAGGGAGGTAATGAAATCTAATAGACATCTCAGAAACCCAAAATCAGATTTCGCTTCAAAGATGAAAAAGAAATAAAAAATAACATTATTGGTGTCATTTACAACTTAAGTAAAAAAAAAATAGGCCTACATTTCATGAGCTAACACTTCTACAAGTTAATTTCATTCATCAAAGCAAGGCCTAGAAGACTAAGGTTACATTATAGGCTTACATTATAGGTATAACAGTCTTAATGATTTTGACAACAATGACTCCCTTATTGGAGGACAGTGCATGAGTGTACCACATAGGAAATTTCACATAAAATTGAGCAGAATTGATGGATTATTTTACTCAGAAATGACCTATTTGAATGTCTGCTATGTGTCAGGCACTGTTTCAGGACTTAGGGATATAGGAGTGAATAAGACAGACTCCTGCTCTTAACAGAGCTTGTGTTCTGAAGGGGTGGTGGCAGGATAGATAATAAAACAGAGTCAGGGAATATATTAACAGCTGCTAGTAAGTGCTATGAAGTTTGATCTTAATTGTTTATCTCAGCCTGATGATTTAGTAGGCATGCTGTACTTACAAAGCTAAGAAGACATGATTATGCCATATTTTTAACTTATCAAGAAAGAAATGATTTACAACATAGAGTATGAACAAAGTACTTGCAAGCCTAAGAGATTTGTTTTACCTTCTTTTACAAGACAGTGATTCCACACTTAAAAGGAGATACATGGTTATTATAGCATGTTTTCCATGGTCAAAGAGGATACTTTATTCTGCTTCAGTATTCTCTGGAGAAAAGAAAGATTTATATTTTCCATTCCATACTTAATGGCTAGAAGACTCATGCATTCATTCAGCAAAATTTATTGAGTGCTTACTATGTGCCAAGCACTATATCCAGGGTACCTAAAAGAGACAAAGGAAATATTATCCTGGAATCTGAAATTTCACTGGAGACAGACAGTAAACCAACATATGTAGATAGTATGTCAGGGAAGAACAACAGTGAAGAACAGTAAAGCAGGGTAGAGAATGAGGAACGTGACAGTGGGTAGTAGGATGCTCTTGTGGAGAGATAGTGGTCAGGAAGGAGTCCTCTCTGATCAAGTACACTTCATGCACAGGTTTGAACCAAGTAAAGGAGTTACCGTATGGATGTCTGAAGGACAGGTGGCCTGGGCAAAGGGAATAGTGTTGCGTGAGGAGCAAGGAAGCTGGTGTGGTGAGTGGCAGAGAGATGAGGCAGGGGGTGGTGGGGCCCGCAGCACAGTGCACTTTCAGGGCCTTGACATGGAATCAAGCTTGTATTCTCTGAAACATGGAAAATCGTTGGAAGGTTTTGAGTAATGATTTTTTTTCTACTTTTGTTATAAAAAAATTGTAAAGATACAGAAAGGCAGAGAAAATGATGAACCCCCATGTAGAACTCAGCTAGACTGAATAGTTATTAACATTTTGCTATATCCACTTTTTCTGTTTCATTGTGCTGAGGAATTTTAAATTCTAGGTATCATTATATTTTACCTCTGAACATTTCAGTGTTCATCTCTAACAAAGGACATCCTCCTATATAATCACAATATAGCCATTGCATTTTACAAAGCAGACAATTATTCTTCAATGTTGTTTCATATCTATGCAGTCCACATTGGCCCCCTAAGTATATTTTATAATTGTTTTATTCCATATAGGATCCAATGCATATCCATATAGGATCTACATTGCCTTTGGCTGTTACAACTCTTAATTGTCTTTTAATTCAGAACAGGCTCCCGCTTCTCCCTTTCGCCACTTTTTCATGACATTGAATTGTGGAAGAGACTTTGTTGTCCTGTAGAGTATTCTGATTCTCTGTCAGAGTGCTGCTTCATGGTTCACCTATTCTCAATATTTCTTGTAAATGGGAAATTAGATCTAATAGAAAATTAACCTAAAGCTCGCTGAATTTTAGGTTACACATTTTTGGTGAGAATACTTCTTGGACACCACTTTATATTTTATATTGCATCCTATCCAGACATGTGTTTCTCTGTCAGTGAGCTCAGAGTGTCCAGGTGGGGACAGCTTTATCAGCCTGGTGCAAAATTATGTTTTTTTCTTGCAAGGTACACTGTACCCTGAAGCTGATGGTTGGAACACTCTGAACACCATTTTCCCATCAACCTTAACACTCATTAGGCAACCACTGGTGATCCTTCCTGAATCTGTTTTCATTAGAACTTGCAGAAGAGTGATTTTTAAAAATTCTATCACTTCTACATTTTTCATGACATTCTTCCATGAAGAGATGCTCTTCTTTATCCATTTGGGTAATTTGATTACACTGAAATATATTTCCTCATGTAATCCTTAGTTTTTTTCCTCGTGCTGTCAGTTTTTAGAGCGAGGAGCTGGTGCAGTAACCACTCCCAATGGTGACAACGGAGTTTTGTTTTGGTTTTGTCTCCCTTTCAGGCTCATTCTCTAATATTAGATATTGTTTTAATCAAATGCAGTCATTGTTTGTGTACTCAGATTGTCACAATTTACTCAGGCAGGCCCTGACATGTTTTTGATACGATTACCTTCATCTTTGATTTCTGGCCCAAAAGATAGCTTATGTTATATTGTGAGGTAAAAAATATATATTTTTTTTATATGACTAGTAGTGATGTGTTTGAAATTCTATTAGTATACACAAATTGAAGGAGAGAGTAACATGTTTTTATTCAGTTCATTTATCTAAAATTCATTTTTAAAATTCCAGTGGTGCTTCTCTTTATGTACCTTTCTTAAATTTTCTGTTCTAATTCATAGGGAATACTCTCCTTTTACGTTTAACACATCAAAAATACCACACAGAATAGTACTCTAGAGAAAAAGAGCTTGTATAAAACATGAGAGGAGGTAGTAGGCTACTCCCCGCAGTGTAAAGTTTTATTCTACTTGAATCTCAAGGATCCCCACTATAATACTCTGAATCTTTGAATATTAAATATGATAGTATTTATATGTAAGCCAAGGTGGTGAATATGAATTTTTTACTGGTTGAGAGATTTTTTTTCTAATATATAATTTGAACCCAGTAAAGATAGATGATTGAATTCATTTACAGTTGACGAATTCTGCCCAGTGATAAGATGGAAAGTCAGAAGACAAAGGATTATAGAACATTAGTCAGAGTCACTGACATGGTGTCCCTTGGATTCTAAATTTTATCTGTGATATAGGCCAGGGATCTCGATGAATGGTCGAAGAGGCAGAAGCAAGCGGAAGGATTGAAGGGTACACTTGATCATATAATTTCTAGATTTCAATTTAGAAGTGGCACATTTTTGTGGCACATTAGGTCTGAGGCAGGGCATGTTCTTGCAATATTTGTTGAATAAATGAATGACAAGGTCCAGGGAATGGCTAAGAGAATGGATGGCTGAGATGTTTTTGGGGAGAATGCCACTTAACGATGAAGTGGCAGAGAAAGGAGAGTCAACTATAAATCAGATCTGGATGATTTGGAAATGACTGTGCCAAACTAAATTAACTTTGTAATGTGATGCATTAGTTGATCTGCCTGAGTGATATTCACACTGAATTAGGAAGACACTTCCTCGGTGATTTGAGAGGCAGACAAAATTGCTCTTACTTTTAGCCAAAACTGAAAATTGATCTGTGGAGCAAAACTATGCTATAAGATTGGCCTAATTGTCTTTCCTACCTGTTTCTTTAAGAATGTCTTACCTGTCCAAAAGGCAGCTTCACGAACTCTATGCATTTTTCTACGTTATAATCGTAAACAAGAACAGAGACATGAGGTCATTCAGAAATTAATTGAACGTAAGTAATCATTGCCTTTCATTTGGAAAAGCAGAAAGTAAACTGGCCTTAGTTATCTTGGGCCAACATTATGTATCATTTTGCCGTGATGTTGATAAATATCTAGAGGGTGTTTGTATTTGAGTTTTGTAGGTTATTTATTTTTTTTTGCTTTAGAAATTTAAATGACAGGATCGGTCTGTGATTGAATGGGAGAAATATTTACTCTGGGCCTTCTTTAGTGAGTTTCTACACTTGAGAAATTAAAATAATGTATATATATATATTTTTAATTTATTTTTTATTGGTTTTCAATTTGCCAACAGAATAACACCTAGTGTTCATCCCATCAGGTGCCCCCCTCAGTGCCTGTCACCCAATCACCCCCACCCCCTGCCCACCTCCCCTTCCACCACCCCTAGTTCATTTCCCAGAGTTAGGAGTCTCTCATGTTCTGTATCCCTCCTTGATATTTCCCACTCGTTTTCTCCCCTTCCCCTTTATTCCCTTTCACTATTTTTTATATTCCCCAAATGAATGAGACCATATGTTTGTTCTTCTCTGATTGACTTATTTTACTCAGCATAATACCCTTCAGTTCCATCCACGTCGAAAGCAAATGGTGGGTATTTGTCATTTCTAATGGCTGAGGAATATTCCATTGTATACATAGACCACAGCTTCTTTATCCATTCATCTTTTGATGGACACTGAGGCTCCTTCCACAGTTTGGCTATTGTGGACATGGCTGCTAGAAACATTGGGATGCAGGTGTCCCGGCGTTTCAATGCATCTGTATCTTTGGGGTAAATCCCCAGCAGTGCAATTGCTGGGTCGTAGGGCAGGTCTATTTTTAACTCTTTGAGGAACCTCCACACAGTTTTCCAGAGTGGCTGCACCAGTTCACATTCCCACCAACAATACAGGAGGGTTCCCTTTTCTCCACATCCTCTCCAACATTTGTGGTTTCCTGCCTTGTTAATTTTCCCCATTCTCACTGGTGTGAGGTGGTATCTCATTGTGGTTTTGATTTGTATTTGTCACATATAATTTCATGTAGGAAAGATTAAACTTATCTTTTTTGTTGTTGTTTCTAGAACTGGGCCAAGGAAAAAGTTATTGGAATAGACTTCGATTTTTGGATACCTGTGAATTTATTATAGAGATCTTTTCCAAATCATTTTTCTGTAAATATTTCTTTCTACCTGCTATTGAACTGACACATGATCCGGTGGCAAATGTAAGGTATGCTACTAATCCAAAGAAATACTTGAAAATATTGTACGTTTAAGTTTATCTACTATAATTCATCTTCTGATCTACTATAATGTACTTACACTTTGAAATTCCTGGTAGTCTTAATTCATGAACCTCAATAGGACTTGGAGGCATAATCTTGTTTATTGGGTTGAGAGAGTAGTAGTCAAAGCCAGACTGGCAGGCTTCTCCTGCCACTTGGATAAATACATACATTGGTGTCAGGAGAAGGTTGAGTAGATATTCCTAATTTATGGATTTTCTGAGACTAAAGAAGATAAAGTTGGCTTGGCCAAGTTCTGTCCATTTTTAGAGGCAATCAGGATTGGATTTTGTTTCGTATTTTTAGTGTAAGAAAATACAGAAAATGCTACTGCATTGGCTTCAGTATTTTTACATCTAACTATGTTGTTAATATTTTGCAAATTGAAGTTGTGACTCTAGAAAATCAGCTCCCGGTGTGATGAATTATCATTTATCAAGCAGTTGACAAAGATTATTTGAAAGGAAATGAAATCATCTCTACCCTGGTCAATATGAATAAATGCATAGCATTGACCCTAAGAGATAGCAACCTGACAATTCAAAAATCAAATGAAGATTAATTGAACATTGCTCCATAAATATTGGTTATTTTTGGAGGGTAAGAGATCATTGCATAGCAATTTGTCCTGGTTTCAGTCTTCTTCTTTTTTTTTAAGATTTTATTTATTTATTCATGAGAGACACAGAGAGAGGCAGAGACACAGGCAGAGGGAGAAGCAGGCTCCCCATGGGAAGCCTAATGTGGTACTCAATCCAAGGACTCTGGGACCACGACCTGAGCCAAAGGCAGACACTCAACCTTTGAGCCACCCAAGTTTCAGTCTTCTACCTGGGCAGCTGCCAGCCAAACAAATGGATTCAGCAACACCGTATTCTAATTGGCTTTTGGATACAAAGCATTTGCCCAACTCTGTAGAGATGTTATTTAGAATGAAAGCCATCACAGGCAAGAGTGGTGGGATCATGCAGTTAGAAGGAGGGTTTCTGGAGCTATACCACCTGGCCTGATTTCCAGCTATATACTAGCTGTGGTCTTTGGGCAAGTTACATAATCTCTCCGTGGACTAATTTCTTTAATTACCCAATTCATAGGGTGTTCTGAGGAATAAATACCTGAGATAATGTATATAACAAAGTTAGCATACCAGAAAGATGTGATATCTAATCTTAAAATCTTTATAATCTCACGGGTCCAGGAGTCTCACAGAGATAAATCACCGCTGTGGCTTCTTCTTCTATACCTTCTGTTGAATATGTTTTCTAGACCTACCTTGAGTTACGAAGAATGAAGTATGCATAATAGTCTGTTGTTTCTGTTTTTTCTTAAGTGAATGTTAAAAATTTGAATTCACTGATTATAGACAATATGAAGCCTGGAAAGACCATTGGTATTCCAAAGGAACCTTCCCCTTTGCCAGAAATGCAAAAAATTCTCTTTGGGGCAACTGGGGCCTCTTAATTTAAAGAAAGCATCACCAGGATCCGTGGTGAGCTCTGAGTGAGTTTAAGACCATTATTGCTATGAACAGAGCTGAAAATTCTGGAGGAAGAGCCTATTTAGCCTTTTTGCTTGAATAAAAAGCAAAGTTTTTTTTTATTATTTTTTATTTTTTTATGAAGAATCCTCAACTGTGAGCTTAGCTGACAAGGTGTCCTGGAAACTCTGGGAATGGGACTTGGTTGTCTCAAATTGGCATAGGAGTAAAAAAAAAAAAAATAGTATTTGGAGAGCACTAAGATGAATGAATTGATACAGCAGCTAAAACATAGGCAACCACCTAGCATCCCTCTTTAAAGCCAGCCCTGGCAGAGTGGTAGAGTAGTAGCTTAGCAAAGCAGATAATTTTTTTTGTACTGCTTCTTCCTAGGAAGCTTTCTGTACTTCCCTGGATTGCTTCTCCCCTCTTTGGCATTCTTCAGCCTGCATGTTGCTTCCTTATCCATCTGGTATAGACTGGGATGGCACCTAGACTCTGTCCTTTTATCTTTTCTTGAACTGCACCTACAGCCTTGGTGATCTGTCCAGTCTCATGACTTGCATATCATCTGTGTGCTAAAGATTCCTGACTATATGGATATCCCTCCTGGACGGGAGCCACGTTGAGCTAGCTGCCCCCCTAGCATTTCCATGGCATGTCCAACAGGTGCCTCAGACTCAGTCTGTCCCAAAGTAAATCCTCATCTCCTGCACCCATACACACCCTTGCTCCTTCTGCAGTGTTCTCCCTCTGAGCAAATGACCATCGCACCTTAGCACCCACTCAGGTCAAAACCTTAACCTCTTTTCTGCCAACCCACTGCAGTCCCTCAGCACATCCTGCTGCTTGCAAAATATACTGAGTCCAACTGCTTCTCCCCACCTGACTGCTAGCACTGTAATTCAGGCAGCCACCATCTCCTGCCTGAATTACTGCCAGAGCCTCCCTATTGTTTCCCTTCCATCCCCAAGCACCTACAGTCTCCTCTCTCTTAGCCTCAGTAGTCAGATGGTCCTTCCTGCCTGTTAAGTCGGATCACTTCATTCCTTGATGCAAAATTCTCCGTGACTTCCTATGGTGCTCAAAGGAAAAGCCAGTCTTCAAGCAGTGGTCTACAAGGCCCTGCAGGAGCTGGCCTCCTGTTGACAGTTTGGGCCAATTTGCCGATTTGGAGTAATACCCTAGGCAAGCTCCCCCTGTAGAGCATTTGCACATACTGCAGGCCCCTGCCTGTCATGTTCCTCTCCAGATGGTCACATTACTTCCTAATTTTCTTTAAGTCTTTGCTTAAATATTCTCTTTTCAATGAAACCTTTGCTGAAACCCTCTGTGACCACGTGTTTTAAAAACGTAATGCCTCTCTGGTACTGTCTCATCTTTTCCTGCTTTATTTTTCTCCACAGCCCTTAGTACTATCTGATGGACATTTTACTGATTTCCTTATTCTTTCTTCCCTGCCCCATACTACAGTGTAAGCTCCCTGAGAGCAGAGAAATTGTTGGTTTTATTCAGTTGTATTTCTGCACCCACAATGAGTGCTTGACTCATCACAGACACTCCATAAACATTTGCGACATGATAAAAAAAAAAAAAAAAAACTCCCAGGCTATCCAGAGTTTGAATTTTCTCTCAATTTCATGTTACTATTATTTTTTAGTTATTAAATGTATTCAAAAGCAAATACTGTTTAATTTATTGTAGAATGAAACTTTGCTACTTGTTACCCAAAGTGAAATCTACCCTGAAGATCCCTGCAGATAAGCATCTACTGCAGCAGTTAGAAATGTGTGTAAGAAAACTCCTCTGTCAAGAAAAAGATAAGGATGTTCTGGCTATTGTGAAAAGAGTAAGTATCACTCTTACCACCACATCTGTGTGTCTTGCATGTAGATAGTGTCAATCATGGCTTCCCTCTTTTAGCTTGACAGGATAGCAATATGTTAAAATATTCATATCGTTGCTAGAGGAGGAGTATCAGTAACTGACTTGGCTGATGGGTGCTACAGCTAGTAAAGTTCCTACCAAGGGGCACTCAGACATTCAACTTCCATTACTAGTAAGACAAGCACCATGAGAGGGAAGCTGGCACATTTGAGGCACTTCAGTAGATACTGTTCAACCAAATACTTCATCCACCAGACTTGATTTATAAGGGATTATAATCCAGGAAAACTTTGTTGGTAAAATTAGGAAAGTCACACTTCATGGAAATTAGCCCTGGAAGGGCCTTCATGATCTCTTTGATTTTGCAAAAGCTCTAGGCCTAAAGGTAGTAAATGTCTGCTTGAGATCTCATTATCAAGTGGCAGAGCTGGAGCCAGAATATAGATCTCTTACCCTGAGTACATTTCTTTTTCAGTAATGTGACATTGTGTCTTATAGGTTTGTTGTTTGTTTTGTTTTACATTGGATTTTATATGTATTGTTTGGAAATATTAGAAACTAAAACAGGAAAAGTTCAGGTTATTGAAGTCAAACCTGAAAATACTTTATAGTCTTCAAAAACTTCTTGCTTAAAATGTGTAACTTATTAAGTCAAATTAATAGTGGTACTTCTATGAATCTGAATGTGAACTTCAGCTTTCTGATTTGTAATGAGAGGAATTAATTTATTAATGTCTTTAACTTAGCATCAGTGATGAGGAAAAAAAGAATCCTTTGATTTTTTTCCCCCTTTGGTTTCTAGAGATCATTACCAGATGTCACACAAGGAACTTTTTAATAAAGTGATTTGACAACGTAGTATAATTAGTATACTCTTGTTTTACTGAAATATGAATTCCTCTTTTACCAACTAAACTAAACAGAAATACCCAGAGTCTTGACATGCAGCTACATCTAAAAACATATATAATATGTGTGTATTACATGTATTTGATTCTACCAGATATTTCTGTCCTTACCATTTAATTACAGAAGTTTAGGCAATAGTTAAGTTTTAAAATAATAAACATACGAGGCTTAGTTACTTTTCTGAAAGAATTTATTAACCCAAAACATATATAAACTAACCCTTTAAGTAGGGACAAAAATGATGTAATTAATGGATTATTAATGTACAATAGATTATTCTGGACTAGAGCTCTTTAAGTATATGTCATGTGAGGAAGTCAGATCAATCCCATGAAAGTTCTATAGTATGATGTTTATCAAACAAGTCTTGGCATGGGAACCTCTGACTTCAGTATAAAAATGGCATGGCTTATGCTAGTCAGTTTTTTAAGATGGGAAGTAATTTTATTTAAAAGGGATATTTCATGGCATAAATTGTAATATTTTCACAAATTTCGGCATAAAAATAGGCTTCAAATAAATACTGCATTTGTAATGGTTATCTTTGGGCATAAGAATATACGAATGTACTTTATTTAGGCCATGAGAGTTACTCCTGGAGAGAAGTATTGTCCTCTGTCACAGTCAGAATCCTGGGTTAGATAGACCATTGTTTGGTTGAACAGTTTGTTTTGGACTAACGTGTTCTGAAAGAGAAATAGTAAGTTGAGAAATACTTTTAGGGCAAAGTCTTTCTTTATGGTTAGAATGTCATAATGGTCAAAAGTTTCTGCAGAAAGGAACTAAGGATTTTCAGCCAAATGAGAGTTTGCTTTATTATATAGTTAGCTAAAATTTTCAAAAATTCAAAAATTATCTTGTATTCTAAAATTCAGAGAAGAGTGGGCCTGGGAGTTATTAGAAGTTTGTTAATTTACACGTGTTTTGTGTGTTCAGTGTCCCTTGAGACTTGCTCATATTAAGGTCAAAGTCTTTTACAAGTGTAAATGGATCCTGGCATTAGGAGACTAATTAAAAATACAGTGCAAAATTGGAAAGAACCTCAGAGATTTTCTAATTTAGTCTTCCACAGAGTAGAGAAGTCTTCTCTTTGTACCTCCCTCTTGGAGAGGAATCTTTCCGAGAAATGATTGGTTGGTTTAATTTAATTACTGCTGAATAATTTTCACAACTTTGCTTGCAGACTGTGTTAGAGCTGGACAGAATGGAAATGTCAATGGATGCGGTAAGTATACACTTTACCTTAGCCTGAAAGAATATCTTAAAATTGGCAGAAACTCATCATAATGTTTCATAATTTCATTTTAAACTTTAAACTTAGTTTCAGAAAAAGTTTTATGAAAAAGATTTGTTGGATCAAGAGAAAGAAAGAGAAGAACTACTTCTTATGGAAATGGTACGTTGTTTTCACATGCGCACACACACATACTTATTTCTGACCACTATGAGCTGTGCTTTGTTATGGAACCTAATAAGTAATTTCCTTCAATTTCACACTTCAGTTTTTCTCTCTAAATGACTAAAGAAGAGTCCTGATCTTTTGAAATCTTTTATGAACTACATAAACAATTGTAGGAAAACTACATTTGAGAGTCTTTAAAAAAACAACTACTTTACTGAAGCATATAATTGGCATACAATTAAACTGCATATATTGGGGATCCCTGGGTGGCTCAGCAGTTTAGCACCTGCCTTCAGCCCAGGGTGTGATGTTGGAGTCCCGGGATCGGGTCCCGCGTCGGGCTCCCTGCGTGGAGCCTTCTTCTCCCTCTGCCTGTGTCTCTACCTCTCTCTCTCTCTCTCTCTCTGTGTGTCTATCATGAATAAATAAATAAATAAAAGCTTTAAAAAAAACTGCATATATTTAAAGTGTACAATTTGATGAATATTGACATATAGGTAATCCATGAAACCATTGCCACAATTAAAATGCCAAACATTTTCATTCCCTCAGAAGTTTCTTTGAGCCCCTTTATAATCCATATCTTCTACTCTGGTCCCTAAGGACCGCTAATCTAGTTTCTGTCACTAAATTAGCTTGCAACTAGAATTTATATAAATTTATTCATATGTAACATTTTCTGTTCATGCTTCTTCTCACCACAATAATTGTTTTGACATTCATCCATGCTGTTGTATATATTGATAGGTCATTACTTTTTATTTCTGAGTAGTATTCCATATTATAGACATACCACAGTATTTACCCACCCCTTAATGAGCACTTGGGTTACATTTAGTTTGGAGATGTTAGAAATAAAGCTGCTATGACCATTTATGAAGAAGTCTTTGGATGGACATATATTTTTGTTTCTTTTGGGGAAATACTTAAGAATGGAATGGCTAGATCATATGGTAGGACATGTTTGGCTTAAAAACAAACAAAAACTGCCATTTTACATATCCATCTACTTGGTGGATGGCTTCAGTTACCCCATACCCCTCAGCTTGATAGGGTGGTTATGTAATCGTGTCTCATTGTGCTTTCAAATTGTGTATCTCTGATGCCTAATGAGATTGGATGTCTTTTTGTTTGTTTATTGACCATCCTTATCTCTTATTTGATAAAGTCTGTTTTCAGATTTTAAAATGGGTTATCTTCAATTCTTGAGATGTAAGAGTTCTTTATACACTCTCAATACTATTCGTCAGATATACATTTTATGAGTGTTTTCTTGGAGTCTATGGCTTATCTTTCATTTACTTAATGCTGTTTTTTGAAGAGTAGTTTTTAATTTTGATGAGGTCAACTTAATCAGTATTTTCTCTTATTGTTTATGCTTGTTTGTTACAAGAATCCTTTGTCTATCCCAAAGCTACCAAGAATTTTTCCAATGTTTTCTTGTGGAAATTTTAGTTTTAGGTTTTACGTGTTATGTATGAATTATATGTATAATTCTGTTCAGTTTTATATATTTTTCCCATCTAAATATTCAGTTACTCTAGCATCATTTGTTAAAAATTTCCCTTATTGAATTGCCTTAGCACCTTAAAAAAAAAAAAAAAACCGATTGTCCATATATGCATGTGTTTATTTCTTAACTCCCTATTCTGTTCCACTGATTTATATATTTATACTTTTGGTAATTCTAAACTGTATAGCCATAACATTATAGTAATTCTTGAAATCAGGTAAGTTAAATTTTTCAACTTAGTTCTTTTTAATTGCTTTGGCCAATCTAGGCTGTTTGCATTTTGATAGAAAGTTTAGAATCAGTTGTCCATTTACATAGAAAGCCTGCTAGAATTTTTGTTAGGGTTGTGTTAATTAGGATTGATCTATAGATCATTTCGAATAATTGCCATCTTAACAATGAATTTTCTAGTCCATGAACATTGTCTACCCATTCCATTCATTTAATCTTTACTTTTTTTCTATGTAATTTTGGTAATTGTTAAGTGTGAATTTAAGGAAGTCTTTCGTTAGATTTATTTCTAGGTATATTATCTTCTTTGGCATTATAAATGGAATTATAATTTTTAATTTCACTTTCTAGAATTTTGTTGCTGTCAATTACTGTTGATTTTTGTAAATTAGTCTTATATTTGTTCTAGAGTTGTTTTTTAGATTTAATAGGATTTTATACATGAGCCATTACAACTTCTTCAAGTGTAGCAAGATTCCTTCTCTCTAATTAAGTGTTTATGCCTTTTATTTCTTATGTCTAGTTGCAGGGTCTAGGACATCTCATATAATAAACCACTTCCAGTTGAATAAAAGTAATGGAAGCAGTCATCCTTGTCATTTTTCTGATTTTAGGGAGAAATATCTAATTTTTCACCATTAAGTATGATGTTACCAAGAGGTTTTATGTGGATGTCCTTTATCAAATTGTGGAAGTTCCCTCATATTCCTAGTCTACTAAGAGTTTTTATGAATGTTTATTGGTTTTTGTCAAATGTTCTTTCTGCATATTTAGAAATGATACTTGTTTTTTCTACTTCATCCTGTTAAAACATTGAATTACATTGATTTTTTCGATGCTAAATCAATCATATATTTTAGGGATGAACTCCACCTAGTGATATGGTGTTCTTTCCTATTTTGTTGGATTCTTGGCTAATTTTTAATATTCATCTATATTCATAGTGAAATTGGTATATAATTTCCTTTTTTGTCATTTTGGGTCTTTTAAATTTGATAGTAGAATTATTCTGGCCTTATAAATGAAATGTGTAGTATTAACCACTTCCTCTGTTTTCTGATGGAATTTGTATAAAATTGGTCTTATTTTTTTCCTTGAGTGTTTGATAGAATTCACTGGTGAAACAATCAAGGATTGGAAAGGATTTTGATAATTGATTCAACTACTTTAATAGATATAAAACTCTTCAGACTTTCTATTTCTTCTTTTTTAAATTTGATGATGTTGCTTCCCACACCCAAAATTCTCTATATCATTTAAGCTGTCAAATTTGTTGCCATAAAGTTGTTTATATTCTTATATTCTTCTTCTAATGTATAACAGACCCATGGTGATAACCCTTGTTTGATTCTTCCCTTAGTGGTTGTTCTATCTCTCTTTCCCCTTCTTTCTCTTTTTCTCTTTCTCTCTTGGAATTATTTTTTTGGTGGTTTCTCTAGAGTTTACAATATACTTAACTTTTCAAAGTCAACTTATTATTAATGTTATACCACTTCATTTAATAATGATGCAGATCTCTACCCTTTCTTTATGTTAAAATTTTTATGTGAATTATATTTGTGTTGAAAACCCCATGAGTCAGTTATCTCATGACCACTGGGTCTAAACTTTGCTCTAAGTTGTAATATATACCTTTGAAGCATTTAAGAGAGTGAACTTCTGTGTTTACTTTCTTATTTTTACCATTTCTAGTACTCTCATTCATTACTGAGGATCCAAAAGTCCCTCTGTTATTTTTTTCCTTTAGCCTGAAGAACTATCTTTAGTTGTTCTTGGGGTGTAGGTATTTTGTGACATATTTCCTTAGTTTTCCCTAATCTGAAATATTTTGTTATCTCCCTTTGTCCCTGAAGGATATTTTCACTAGATATGGAATTCGGGGTTGATAGCCTTTTTCTTTCTGTACTTTATATATGTGTTCTTGTCTCCAGAGCATCTGATAAAATATTAGCTCTAATTCAGATTATTGTTGCGTGTATTGTGGCTTTTCTCTGGCTACTTTAAAGGTTTTTTCCTTTTCTCCTTTGTTTTTAGCAGTTTGCTTTTGATGTGTTTAGGCATAATTGACTTCAAATTTATCTGTTTTGGGATTTGTGTAGCTTCCTCAATCTATAAGTGTGTATTATTTCCCAAATTTGGAAAGGTTTGAGCCATTATTTATTTAAACTTATGTTTACTCTTCAGGGTGCTTAGGTGGCTCAGTTGGTTGAGCATCCAACTCTTGATTTCAGCTCAGGTCATGATCTCAGGGTTGTAAAATTGAGCTCTGTGTTGGACTCCTCATGCAGCAACAAGTCTACTTGAAGATTCTGTCCCTCTGCTTCTCCCCTAACCTGCACATGAGCTCTCTCTCCCTCTCTCTCTCAAATAAATAAATAAATCTTTTAAAAAAATAAGTAAATATGTATTCACTCCTACTTCTGGGTCTTTGATGTTAGATCTTTTGATATTGCCCCACAGGTCCATGAGATTTTGTTCTTGTCTTTTTTTTCCTTAAACTTTGTTATTCAGAGTGAATAATCTCTGTTGATCTGTCTTCAGTGTCACTGACTCTTTCCTGTCCTCTCCATTTCAGCTGCCAAGCTTATTCAGTGTTTTTATTCCCAGTGCTGTATTTTTCAGTTCTCAAATTCCCATTTATTTCTTCTTTATATGTTCTATCTCTTCATGGAGAATTGTATGGTAAGATTAAACAGTTATGTGGAAATCTTCTGAAAAACGATCACATTGCTTTAGCAACCTTCTGAGACAAAGATCGAAGTTCAGGATTCCTAGTGATAGAGGTTGTAGAACATAAGCAGGCTCTAAAAATTTTTAGGACTCAAATGACCTAAACCCAAGACAAAAATCAGGTAATAGAAAAAGACCTACAGATGATCCTGGTTTTGGAGTTAGCAGATAAGGACTTTAAGACAACTCTGATTAATATGATCAAAATAGAGGAAAAGGTGGACAAAATAGATAACACTACTTGTGAGCTCACTTAATGACACTTTATTTTTCAATTTTACATGTTTTCAGTGTTAGAGATTCCATTTGGTTCTTTTTTATGCAGACCAGTTCTGTGTGGAAGACTTTTTAATCTATCGTCTATTTTCTTCCTGTTTTTCTTTACACGTGCAATCAAAATGCATGCATGTTCTCCAAGTTGTTGAGTATAGAGGAGTTTTTCTTTTTGTTGTTATTTCTTTGTTCTTAAATTTTAAGTAGGCTCCATAGCTAATATAGGGCTTGAACTCATGACCCTGAAATCAAAAGTCGCATGCTCCACCAACTGAGCCAGCCAGGTGCTCTGAATGTAGTGTTTTATATGTGTCAGTTATGCTACATTTGCTCAGAACTTGGTATGTTTATTGATGTTCTTGCCTACTTGTTCTGTTTTTTTGGGATAAAGGACTCCTCTGAGTTTTGGTAATATTTTGTTTCTGGATCTGGAAGCTGGTTATGTAGGTATGTTCATTTTGGGAAAATTCATTGAGCTGTGTGCACTTATAATTTGTACAGTTGAGTGTGTTATACTTCAGTAAAATGTTTAAAAAATACCAAAAAGACCATTTCTTTTTTCCTCTGTCCTTTTAGAGAAGGACAATTGGTAATTGCCACTTACCAATCAGAAGTGAAAAAGACTCATAGTAAATAGTTTGATGATAAGAATTGGCAAATGTCTTCTAGAATATAAGGCGAATTACAACAATGATACTAAACTCATTGTTTTGACAATGAGTACCCCAAGGTACAATTCAGTGGATGTTGAAAGCACATAAATCCAAAAGAACCTTGACTTCTTTTGACAGTAATTTATATTAAAAAATTCTTTTCTGAGGCATTTTTGTAAACTGTATTTGTATTTGTAAAGCTTAGAGTACTTTCTCATTAGAAGAGTTTTCTAAATCTATGCTTACTTTTAATGCTAACATACTGTTTTAATAATAGGAACAATTAGAGAAAGAGAAGCAACAGAATGATGGGAGGCCCGTGAGTGATAAGACCTTTGAAAAGAAACGTAAGTAGTTTTCTTGTGTCTTCACCACTAAATCGTACAATTAATGTTGCATCCTGGCATTTGGAAAGTCCGTGCTGATTTTCAGATTTGATGTGGAAGATTGCTTCATTTTCTAAAAAGTTGTTTTAAAAAATTGGCTACTTCATATGGTACTGATTGAAGAATACATGAATAAATAGTGGGAGTCAGTGTGGAGATTGAGATCCTTCAGAGGAAAACTTAAAGTCTGATAACAGACTTTATGAGTCTGTGAAATTGGTCACTGAATGGCTAAGATTGAAATATGTAAATATATAAAGTAAGAATATTTGGGAAAGAGCACGCTGCCTAACTAGGGACAGTGACTCATGTTCTCTGTGTTTTCTTGGTTTATGGAGATTAGGAGCTCAGAGGAAATTACAGCATTTAAAATAGAGTTTGTTTTAGGTAGAGACACTAAGACACCAACAACTCTGCCCAAGAGCATCCCTATTTCTGTTCCTGGACCCTCTGGAACAAGCACCCCATCGACAAGTAAGAAACAACTTCTTTTTATGTCTCCTTTTTCCCTTTTTGTAAAAATTAATTACAGGGAAAATCACTCCATTAGATGAGATTCTCAAATGCCTTTTACCTATATCATTCATTGTTTTGGGAGTTCTTGACAGGCAGTAGGGGTAAGAGATACCCCAGTTAGCTCTCTGAGCTAAGGAAAGGAAGCTGGGCCACCTGTATCTAATGAAAGAGGCGGGGAGTTGGTGAGGGGTTGGGGCAGCTAAGGATGAAATGAACAGCTGCATTTTCCTTCTGCTTATTGCTCTAGGCAAAGAAATCAAGAAATCCAAACTGATTCGAAGCCAGTCTTTTAATAATCAAGCCTTCCATGCAAAATATGGCAACTTAGACAAGTGTGCTAGGTATGGTCTGTCAGCTATTCATGTTTTAACCCAATTTTTATTTTGTAGTTGCAGATTTTTATTATGTGAAATATTTATATTATGTAAAATCAGGATTAATTTGGGGTTTTGTTTATGTCAATAAATTGTAAGTTTTTTTCTGTAAAGATTCTCTATGAAAAAAATTGGACTCTACCAATTTGTATAAGAACAGGTTTTATGGCATTCTAGGAAGACTATTGCCATGATGCTATATAATAATGTCATGGGATCCATATATTGTTTTATGAGGAAGGTGGTGCTCTATCACATAGGTCACTCAACCTCTAAGTGTATGTGGACATGCCCCATTTGCTAAGTGGATGTGAATATCCACATACTGTTGATATTGTTTCTATATAGAGAAACCACAGGTATGTTTCTATAGTAAAGTGATCACAACAATTCTTAAAATAGTTGAATGTCTGGTTTCTCCTTTGGCCCCACAGATTGAATTATAAACAGTTAAGATTAGGAGAGAATTAGCATAAATTCAATGACAACTTTTTATAAATGTTGTAAATATATAGTATATAACAGCTGTATATCAATCAACAAAGGTAATTTTAAGTAAACATAATTGTCCTTGAAAGTATTTATTGAGGAAAAAAATGATGTGGGAAAAATAGGTTTTTCTTTTGTTAAAGATAGCTGGCTCTAGATTGTTAGCTGTATTTTGGGACATTCTCAATAGATCTATCTGGAGTTCTAGTCAATAGGGTGATCTTGCAATGGACAAAAGAGATGAGAACTGAAGATAAGTTATTTCCAGGAAAATTTTATCCATATCATCTGTCTTAGCTGAGCACCAAGAGAAAAACTTTGATTCTGATGTAGCAAGTTTAAGGAAATTAAATTTGTCTTTTAAACTTTGTCTTTTAAATTAAAGACAGAGGAATTGTCAGGAGGCATGGCATGTAAACAATAAATGAGAAGTGAAAGTAGCATGTGTGCTTCATCATAAGTAGAAGAGAGCATTAAAAAAAGATTAGAAAAGACCAAGTGCCTAATGACTGAAGTGAAAGAAGAATGTTCTTGTATTTTAAACTAAATCATGTTCTTTTCTAGTAAAAGTTCTACAGCAGGATATACATCTTCTGTCTCAGGGTTAGGAAAAACTTCTGTGATTTCACTACCTGGTAAGTAGAAATCTGAGTTCTTAAAAAAAAATGCTAAATGTAATGAAATATTATTTTTTTAAGGACCAATTTCTTTATTTCTAGATATAGTGGTTTCCTGAAACTTACATCTTTATCAAATGCCCAAATAATTGAACTTTTCCCTAGCAACTGCGAAAATACTTGACTGTGCCATTTATTGTGAAGACTCAGTATTTAATACTTTTGAAAGAGAGAAAGGACAGTAATAGGGTAGGTTGTTCCATAGTCTGAGGGCCTCCTGGGGCCAGATTAAAAGTTTTCGTAGTAATTTTTAGGTAAGTTAAGAATACTAGGGCTTCATGGTAGATCGCATGCAGCCAAACATTTACAATATTATATATTTGAAAGTTTATACCAGGCGTCAGCAAGCTTCTCCTGTAAAGGGCAAGATAAGTAAATATTTTAGACCTTGTTGGCCAAATTGGTTTCTGTCACAATTATTCAACTCTGCTGTTGAGCAAAAAGCTGCCATAAACTGTACATAATGAATAGGTATGGTTGCATTCCAATAAGATTTTATTTACAAAACCAGCAGCAAGCAAGATTTGGCTCACGGACTTATAGTTTGCTGACCTCTGGCTTATATAATAGAACCCAGAATTATACTATGAATAAGGGGAAATATATTGCTAAAAATTACTAGTGGCTCCTAAGTATATTTTTAAGTTTTTGCCTTAGCATATTGGCTGAAAATTATAGTACTTATCTTTGGCAAGTTTTTAGTGTAAAGAATAGCAAATCTACTCAAAGGTCAGAAACTTTTTAAAGTTTGGTCACATTTCCTTCCCAGGTTATGTTTTGAGTATTTTGTCTTCCTCTTACTTCTTATTATATTCTTATATTATGAAGAATAAATATACAGTCACTGGCTGTTCTATAAACAGTATATTTTCATTTGTCAGATCAGAAAAATCTTTCTAATATTAAAGCATTGACATTCATATGCCGTATATAGAGTGGTTTTACAAGGTAGACTAGGAGTAGCATAAAAAACCTGGAAGAATTTGATAATGGGAAGTTTTTGAACTAAAAGTTATTTCTTGAAGTGGGGGTAATAAATAATAAAACTATTGATTACTTTTATCATAGCAAATCAGTGAATTCTTTAGGAAATACTAAGAGAACATTCAGGATTCGTGAAGTTTATAATACAGTGTCTAAGAATTTCATATATATGAGTCAGTTTGAATTAGCTCAGATTGGAGCTAAATGGTGCAGATGATTCTTGATAGCCTTAAGTAGTTCTTCAGACTTGCATGGATCCAATCTGGCCTTTTGGAGATGACTTCATATGAGCATATTTATTCATGAACTTGTAACAAGTCTTGCCAAGAAATTTCTTTGCTTAAGTCATTAAGAATATTGATTTGGAACAGGTTTTTTTTTTTTTGCTTTTTTTTTTTTGCAAGTTTTAATTATGTGCACTAATTTCTTCAGTTTTGACTTTGCTTGTTCTTAAGTCACTTTGAGAATCAAGAGTGATCAACTGATCCTAAAACTTACCCAGAATCTTAAGTAAAATAATTTTATAAGGGTAAATCTCTTATTAAAATATTAGAAAAATATTCTGTCTTAAGGGTTCAATGTTATTTTTGGGAGAGGGAATATTGGCTGAATGAATGAAATCTCTTCCAGGTTATTATGTATTACTTAATATATATATATTATATATTGCTTTATGAAGTACAGACTGAGGAAAAATTATATACCTGATCTACAAAGAGAAAAAGGGAACAAAATGTCTCTTAACAAATGCATTAGGTGTTCACAAGAGAAGAGATTTTACAGACTTTGGGACTTAAGGCAGGTTTTAAGATACTTATATCATTTGGGATGAAGCCTGAGGCATGCTAGGATTTCTGATAGGCAGAGATGGGTCTGGAGCAACATCCTACTCAGAGTGCCTGTGATAAAGAAGACATGTCAATGTCTTGAGGAAGCAGCAGTAGGCCAGTCTGACTGGAGCACAGAGTTTGAGTGGGATAAATAGAGCTGAAATGAAAGGTCAGTTACTGCTTGGAAGGCCAAATTGAGGACTTTTTACTTACCACGAGCCCATCGCTAATATTTTGGTGACTTTTGCCTGTTGTCAATTCCAACATTTATCTAAGGCTATGTGAGCACAACAGACTGGGGGAAATACATGGAGAATGCCAGTAAGGAGTCAGGGAAACCAACTGTAATGTATCCATTATTAGAGGGTATGAAAATCTGTGGAGCCCTTTTGGAAAACAGTTTGGTGAAGTTCATCAAGAATCCTAGTTTTAAAAACTAGTCTTTGATGCAAGCAATCCCATTTCTAGTGACCCATCATGAAACAGTGGGATAAAATATATAAAATGTGATAAAAAATATCATAGCGTATGGTATGATGTGATGAAAATGGCACTTTACCTGTCACCCTTCCTTAAACCTATAACCTTAGTCTAATTCTAAGAAGAGCATCTGATAAATTCTAATAGAGGGGCATCCTGCAAAACGTTTGGCCAGTACCTCTCAAAGCTGGTAAGGTCACCAAAAACAAGGAAAGGCTCAGGAGGGCCAACAAGTAAAGGTAATGTCGTGTACTGGATGGGACTCTGAGACAGAAGCAGACATTAGGCAAAAACTAAGGAAATCTGGATGCACTGTGGATTTTAATTAGTAATAATGTCTCATTACTGGCTCATTCACTGTAACAAGTGCAGCATACTAGAGTGAAGTGTTAGTAGAGGAAACTGAGTGAGGGGGTGGATGAAAATTTCTCAGCGTTATCTTCTCAATTTTTTCTGTAAATCTAAACCTTTACATAATAAAGTCTATTTTAAAAAATCACTTTTATAGTAACTCCAAAAACATTAAGTCTTCAGGAATAAATTTAACAAAATGTATATTCTGTATACACTAAAAAATTCAAAACATTGCTGGATAAAATTAAAGAAGAGCTAAACAAATGGAGACATATACTGTGTTTGTGAATGGGAAAGCTTAATATTGTTAGGATGTCAATTCCTTTTAAATTGATCCAGAGATTTAATGCAATCCTGATCAGAATTCTAGTAGTCTTTTTGTAGAAATGCATAAGCTGATTCTAAAATTTCAATTGAAATGCACAGAACTGAGGATAGCTAAAACCCTTTTGAAAAAGCAAACCAAATTGAGAGAGCTTAAACTCCTCATTGCAGCACTTACTAGAAAGCTCCAGTAGTCAAGACTATGTGCCTACACTGACATACATGTGCAGCTGAGTTTCCATAAAGGCTCCAGGATAAATCAGCAGTAATGGAATAGTATTTTCAAAAAATGAAGCTGGAACAATTGGATACCTATATCTTCTTACTAGTTTCAGAGGTAGAATTTAATGATTCATCAATTGCATGTAACACCCAGTGCTCATTGCATCAGGTGCCCCCCTTAATGCCTATCACCCAGTTACCCCATCCTCCCATCCCCCTTTCCTCCAGTGACCCTCAGTATGTTTCCTAGGTTCAGCATCTCTTAGGGTTTGTCTCCCTCTCAATTTTCATTTTATTTTATTTTTCATTCCCTTCCCTATGGTCATCTGTTTTGTATTTAAATTCCACATGAGTGAAATCATATGATATTTGTCTTTCTCTGACCAACATTTTGCTTAGCATCATACTCTCTAGTTCCATCCACATTGTTACAAATGGCAAGATTTCATTCTTTTTGGATGGAATAATATTCCATCCAAATATATTCCATCCATTCCAATATTCCATTCCAATATATTCCATATAATATTCCATCCAGTGGAATAATATCCCATTATATAGTTATACACCACATCTTCATTCATCTGTCGATGGACATCTGGGCTCTTTTCATGGTTTGGCTATTGTGGACATTGCTGCTATGAACACTGGGATGCAGGTGCCCCTCAAATTACTATGTTTGTATCTTTGTATATCTATGTTAAAAAAAAAAACAAAATGAACCTCAATCCTTAACTCACACTACACATAAAATTCTCTCAAAATGCATAATAAACTTAAGCATAAAAGCTAAAACTATGACATTTCTGAAGAAAATGTTACAGAAGGAAGTCTTTGTGGTTTTGGAATAGATTTCTCCAGACCATGAAAGAAAAAGTTAACATATTGGACTTAGTGAAAATTTAAAACTCTGCTCTTTGAAATAAAGCATACAAAAATAAAAGGCAGGACACAGATGAGAAGAAAATAATCATATTACATATACCTGACAAAGGACTTACAGTCAGGATATACAAAACAAATCTTTAGAACTAATTAGTCAACTAATTTTAAAATGGAGGAAAAATCGTGTATCATCTTCACAGAAGAAGATACACAAATAAGTACATGAAAAATGCTTGACATCAGCAATCTTTAGAGAAATGCAACTTAAAAGGATCAAGAGAGGCATAAATAGAACCGAGGTATGCCAGGGGTGGAGAATGGACAAGATGTGTGAAGGTGGGTAGGAGATGCAGGCTTTCAGTTAGGCAATGAGTAAGTCACAGGGAAGAAAGTCACAGCATAGGGAGCACAGTCAATGATATTGTAGTAGCTTTCCCTGATGACAGATGGTGGCTACCCTCATGATAAGCACAGCATAACCTATAGTGAAATCACCGTTGTGTACTTGAAACTAATGTGCTGTTGCGTGTCAACTATACTTTAAAAAAAAAGTTAGTTTTAAAGATGGAATTCTATGCATTCCTTAAAATGTTTAAGAGAAAAAATGTTGACTACATAGAAAAATAGTCATGAATGGCTAAATCACAAAGTATGTTATAAAATAGAATGCACAGTAGGTCTTTATAAATTAGATGCATAGGTGTGCATATACATAGCCCGCTTAGGAAGAGAGATTGAAACAATTTATATTAGAATGATTAAAGACTGTGGCTTTAGTTGCTAGAATTATGGCATTATAGAGGATTTTAATTTTTATACTGTTTTTGTGTTCCATTTTTAAAAATTATAGGTTATTCTTGTAATGAAAAAATATGTGATTGCTAATGCTGTAATTCGTTTCATGATGTCAGACAGATATGTTACTATATGTCCATCTTTTGGAAGATTTGGTAGACAGAAGACCCAGACAAATATATTAAATCAAGAAAATGCTAATTTAAAAATTTTTTGAAGTTCCAAATTAAAAAAAGCAACGGGAAAAAACACAAGGAGATAACACTTTACGGTCACTAGAATGTCTAAAGTTAAAGACATAATATTAAGTGTCTGTAAGGATATAGAGAGCAACTCTCCAGAATGCTTATTTGTTGCTAGTGGGCATGTAAAATGGTACAATTGCTTTGGACAACAATTCAACTGTTTCTTTTCTTTTTTTCTTTTTAAATGTGTTTCATATTTTTTAAAAGATTTTTTAAATTTATTCACTTAGAGAATGTGAGCATGTGAGTGAGAGCATGAGCAGTGGGAAAGGTCAGAGCGAGAGGGAGAAGCAGACTCTCCGCTGAGCAGGGAGCCTGACACGGGGTCTTGATCCCAGAAGCTCAGGATCATGACCTGAGTGGAAGGCAGACTCTTAACAATTGAGCCACTCAGGCGCCACTTGGCAGTTTCTTATGGAGTTAAATGTACACTTATTATGTGATCAGCAATTCCACTCCTTGGCTTTTATTTACAAGAAATTAAAGCATGTATCTATACACAGACTTGTACACAATCGTTCATAGCAGCTTTCTTTGTGAAAGTTAAAAACTGGAAAAAATCCATATGTCTGTCGACAGGAGCCATGTATAAATGAGTTTTGGCATATCCGTGCAATGCATATCAGTCAGCAATAAAAGGGAATGAAGTATTGATATACACAAACAATAACGAGAATGAACCTCAAACTGATCTTGCCAAGTGAAAGAAGACAGACACACTGTGTGATTCCATTTACATAAAACTCTAGAAAATGCAAACTAATTTTTAGTGAATGAGACAGATTGCCTGGAGTGTAGAGGAGGGGTTGCCAGGGTGCAGGAGGTACGGGGTGGGTGCATTTTTACTCTTGATGGTGGTGATGGCTTCATAGGCATGTTATGCATCTGTCAGACCTTAAATTTGTGCAGTTTCTTGTACCTAGGCTGCACCTTAATACAATCGATCTTAAGAAAAGTCAGCTATCATTAACTTTACTTCTCTTAGGTTAACATTTCTTAGCGCATTCAGCATGTCTGACTGTACTTGAATTCCTTTCAGATGATTCATTCCGCACTCGCAATGCCAGTAGCACTCCGACTTCCTTTCCCTCCAATCCTTCCCTACCGAGCACCTCCCGGGGGACAGGTAACTCAGTTGATCCAAAGAGCAGTGGAAGTAAAGACACACAACCACGAAAGGCTACCTTGTAAGTAATCCAGTGATGTGCCAAGTGTATCATTCTGCTCTTTAAGTACTTTCCAAAGAAGAGACAAAGTCTGTAATGAGGAAAAGGTATAAATTAAAAGGAATTCTTTTCACCCATGCCTCTATTATGTCTGATACTTTACATAAGATGATACAGATATGGCAAAGACACTGAAACCCTAGGGGATCAACAGGAAACTTGAAATGGCTGCTATTCAAACCTGAGGTCCATTTATTTTTTTGTGAAGTGTTTGCATTCAGGGCATTTATCTCTGAGAAGACACTGGGTATAATTGCATCCCTTTTGCACACCCAGCTCAGATACACAGTATGTAATCAGCCAGTGCTTAGAAAGGTCGGTACAGCTAATGCTCCTGAAGAAATATGACTGTAGCCTTATAATCTAGGATTGTGGCTCTGGCAAACTGAAGATTTCTACAGACCAAATTTATGCTTTCATGTTATGGTTATAAAGGGCCTCTACTCAGCTTTTCCCTTGTGGTTCCTTTTTATGAACTATTTGTATCCTGTTTGAATTGTTGAAGCCTTTGGTACTTGCAGTTGAAACATCGAACAGGGCAGACTATAAAAATCTCCAGGGTGAGAGAGGAGCTCAAGGTAGAACTGATTCAGCCAGGATGTCCAAACCATAGTTAGGGTTTATACTTTCATACAGAACTCCCAAACCTTCTGATTAGCATGTAGTTTAAACAGGACTCAGGCTTTCTTTGAAACATATTTCACTGAATGCATGAGTGTTTTCTTATGTAGTTTCTCAAATGCCTTTTTTTTTTTTTTCAGAAACTACATGCTATTACTCCCTGTTAGGAACTGAATATCATAATTCTAAATTTTAATTGGCTGTTGGTATATAAAAATACAGATGTATTCAATATTCATTCAAAGCTTAGGAAAAAATGTATTGAATGGAGCTCAAGGAGAGAGTAGGAGGATATAATAGAGAAAAGCAATAGTAAATAGCAAAGGTGATATTGATAGTACAGATTAGTAGCATTTCATACAAAGGGTACTTTCATTTGCAGAGAATGTTCTTTGCCCCCCTACAAATTACTGCTCAAACGATGACACTTTGAAGTTCTGTTTACAAGTCCTGCGGAGAGAGGCAGGACAGGATGGTGGTGTGTGAAGAGTATGGAGTAGCAGCCCTGTGCCCTGGCTGCAGTGGCCACTCAGAGCTCCGTGTGGTTCAGTAAGATGGAGTCTCCCTTAGGGAGCCTTCCAGGCCGGGCACCCTGGTCCTTCCTGTCTGTCACCCTATGCTTTCTTCCTCTCAAAAGCCTGCCCTGGAATCCTTCTATTGAAAAGCATAGTTAATAACATCAGAATGTCATCTTTCCATTCTCATTTTTCTAAATGCCAGAGGCATTTGTAAAGTAAGGATAGCTGAAACCTAATATTTACACCAGTTCTCCTTTATTTAGATTACCATCTTCATCTGTTCTTGCTTTGCTGTGTTTTTCCTTTTATAGACTGAATTTTCTCTTGCTCAGTATACACCCTATGTAACATACCCATATGGATATTACATATCCATAGAATTGTATACTCGATTACATATAATTGAGGGTTACAAAAAAGAATCTAGAAACACTCTAAAAAATCACATCATTTGTTTATTCTTTTGTGAATATTCTGAAGGAGGAGGAATGTTGGTTTTTTAACAGGAGACTGGATATCAAGTCCATAACTATTTCTATATAACATGGCTCTAGTCTAGACTTTCTCATGAATGCACACCTGCTGCACAACTGGAATAGCTGAGTGAGATGTGCATTGGTCTGGTTTCTATGAAGTATTATGCACAGTTCGGTGATGTGCCATATTGAAATGAAAATAAGCTTATGAAGTGATTTCAGAAAGTATTGATTATTTCAGTATTGCTTCTTCAAAAAATTCCATGTGATACATTCTCCCACTTTTGGGTGTTATAGAGATGACCCATTTGGTATTTAGGGGTATCGGTGTCTTAAAGTAGGTACAGGAAGGCATCATATCTTATGTCCTTTAAGGCCAAACAGTTGATATATTTGGGTCTATGTTCATTTCCATTGTTATACAAAAAAAGTGGGGAAATTGTATGAACTGAATTGAATGCTATATTAGATGTACGTAGGATTTGGTAATTAAAGAGTTCCAGGTAATCCTTAATGCGTGATTTCTTTTTCACTTAATCAAACTTAACCAGAATCCTCATATTTTCAGTTTATTTAAAGTAGATTATATTTCTTACTTTGTAAGAATTATATGTACAAAATTTTTCATGTTTTGTTTTCTCTTTTTCTCTTCTCTTTTTCCTTCCCTCCTCCCACTCCTCCCTCTCTCCCTCCCTTATTTTCTTGACAAAGAAAATCGAGAAAATCCAATCCTTAAATCCTTAAATCATCCACTTGATGAAGGAAGCAAAACAAAGACAACTGAAGATAATGTGATTGATGGACAAAACCTAAAGCAATGGCTGGGCTTTTTCTTTCTTTCTTTCTTTCTTTCTTTCTTGTCTTTTCTTTTTTTCTTCTTTTTTCTTTTTTTTTTTTTGGTTAATGAATGGAAAAGAGACACATAATGGCAGCTGATGTTGATAAACTTTAAACTTTCCATGTTTGAAATTAGATTCCCTAGCAGGTATACTATGTATTTCTCAAGTAATAATGTGGTTACAGAATTCCAATGTCATAGTGAAGTGCAATGAAAACAACATTAGGTATGCGCTTTTAGCACCGCTACAGAAGAGACCAGTCTGCATTTATCTGTGCAGGAAACCATCTATTTAACTGTCCTAGAGTTTTAGCACTCAAAAGTTATATGAAAGTCCAAATCAACTGAAATTGCTCTAGCTAATCACTTGGAAAGGCCTTGGAAGTAAGAAAGACATTGCATCTTCTGGAAAATCTCCAAGCCCAATTGAAAAGTCACATTGAAAAGGGTACGAACAGCTGTCAGCAACTTTATCATTCCTGCCGGTGAGGCGACAGTGTTGTACCTGGACATTCTGAAATTTCAATTTGGCAATGAAAATTCTACCAAGATTTCTGATAACTTTTAGCTACGACTACCTTAAAAATAATAGATTGATGATTTCATTTCCTAGAAGACTTTATTTTATAAATACTTTGTTTACATTTTAGATTGTATTTGTCCTTAATTTAAAATGATGAATCTAGTTTGAATCAGCTGTTATTCCAAGCTATCATGCTTAAGCTATGTCAACAGCATTTATTTGTACTAATGCTAGTATTTCCATCAATATTTGCCTGTGGAACATATACAATTCTTAATTTTAAAATGTCAGTTCTTGAGATATACTGTATGAAGCTATTGTCAGCTTCTCAATTTCAAAATGCAATCAGCATATAACTATATTGATATTAGAGTGTTTGTTTTTTAAAATATATTGATGTATGATAAAGATGATCTAATTTGTGAATGCATATGTGTGTGTGGTTACTTTTTATAATGTGAAATAATGAATAATGAGTTTACTCAAAATAAAACATAGGTTAATGAGATACCAGTGTTCATGAAAAAAGTTTTAAATCTTTCCTGCAGTTTTTATTCTACAATTGAAGAGTAAGACAGTTCATTTTTCAGTAATGAATGAGAAACGCACCAACATCAACTATAAATTAATTATTCAGGGGACAGCTACTCAGTGTGAGACTTCTCCAAGACATTCGTTTCCCCTTTTTCTTCCGTATGGCCTCTTCAGGGCTATTTTTAGCGAATCTTAGTGTCTTTCATTTAAAGATAGTCAGATAAATGGAATTGTCAAACTACTCATTTTGTCAGTAATTAAAACTAGGGTAGATTTTTGAGAGACTGGACAATATGGGCTCAGTGAATCCCCTGTTCTTTGTGGATTTTATGTCACGGTCAGCACCTGTCACATGGAATGGAGTGCATTTTTAGGAGAGAATGCATGTGTGCATAACAGCACATCCAGCACTTTGCTTCATACTCATCATTGTGTTGCTTTAAATAAAATGGAGAATTTCAGTTTGCTTGTTCAATAACAACTAATAATAATAAAAGCAGAATTAGGGGCTTTATTTCCCAGCGTGCATACAGGAGAACAGTGAAGTGTTTTGCCAGGGGAAAGTCACCACTGTGTGTAAAGTTCAGGAGTATGCCCAAGTCAGCTTCGGTCTTGTTCCTACTTAACTGTCAATTAAGACGGTTAATCAGTGTTACTTTTGGATTTTTTTTTAAAGAAAAACACAATTTTTAAAACCATTGACCTATTCGCTAAGATTATACTTCCAAGGTCGGATATATATAAAAACAGAATAAAAACCAAATTGGTGACAGTTATGAATACCCACATATATCCTGATTTATACCAGAAGCAAGATTGATAGTCTTATTAAAAGTTCTCAGTGTAACAACTCATCAAATAGATCCTTTAAACTAATTGTGTAACATCTGTCACTCCAGAGAAATAGGGATGGCTGGCTCCTGTATCTTCCTGTTAATTATGAAAACTTGCATTTTAAGGACAGGTTCTAGGATGTCCCTAGTTCACATTACAAGTGAGGTAACAGGCCCATAGAACTCTGTCTTACTGGCAGACCCAGAGATCAGACTAAAAGGGATTTTACTTGTGAGAGAGGAGCATAGGGAGTCTTTCTGACATAGCCTCATACACATTTAAAAATCATTTCCATTATTTGACTTCCTGAGTTCAGACATCTTATTCTGGAAGGTGGATCCATTAGCCCTGCAGTTAGTGGGCATATGTGAGATACACAAACTGAAGTAGGACAGACTCTTCAGCTTGAGTAGGAGTCTTGCCATGAAGATAAAATGAATTGCAGCAACCCAGTAATCTGTTCTCAGTTGTTATAGTGTGTGTGACAGTGGGTGAGTGTGGGTGAGTGTGTATGTGTCTGTGCCAGGGTAGTTTTTAAACCTGACACTTAAATATAATGAAGACTTGTTGCAATGTTCAGATTTCCCCCTCAGTTGAAAACTTGAATTTTCTTGGTAAGATCTATTATATTTTTCATTGACCTGCATTTTTTCACCACACAGAGATACTTGGAAAAGCTGAAACCTAGTGTCTTAGGGACTTCATCAAGTAAATGGAGGGGATTATTATTATTTTTTTTTTTTTTAGTTTTTTAAAGCAGGGTATAGGGCCATTTTCTGCCTCCAAGTATAATGTGTTAGATATAATTTAACACTGTCATTGTTTTGCCATGCATATGATGGGCGAATTTGACCTGCACGTTCTAGAGTCCTTCGATAGCAATGAAGCTTCTTATAACTGGGTTTGGCCATATTTATTTCAGAGGATATTATGTTTCCATAGACTTTCTTTTTTAGATTTCATCCCTTAAAGGTGGGTAATTTGAACTCTTACTTCTTTTTCCCCACCATCTTTTCACAAACACACTTGACTAGTAGAATACCAACAAGTCAGTTAAGAATGTCAGTTGGAGTTAGTCCTCTGTTTGCCTTGTCCTAGGTCCTAGCACTGCCTGGCCGTTCCCAGGTGTCAGCTAGTGCTCATGGAAGGAATATAGGAATGAAGTGATGTACACACATTAATATGATGAAAAGTCCATCTCTAAACTGCTTAATAGTATTTCCTGAGATACGGTTTACCTTACTCTGATTTATATTTATAACCAAGATGACAAATAAATCCATTTTAGGTACATTTAAACATGGGATAGCAAACATGGAAATCCAGTTAGGCATTTAGTCTACACATTTGACGCTCCACAAATTAGCTAGCTCAACCCGTGGTTCTCTGAATTTGCTCCTGAAATATTTTCTTATCTCTGTAACAGAAAATGAGCAAGAGAATTTTAGAGGTATTTGCTAGTTTCCTTTAACCCCCGGACAAAGCCCATGCTCATGTTCTGTTTGAGCAAAGTGGGTAATAGAGGGGAGTATGTGTGGCCTGTATATTTAGATTCAATGTTTTCAATCGAAGGAGGAAGAGTGAAATGGGCTAGAGGGTTGGGGTCAGGAGAAGCAGATCTCCAGCTGTCACACCACGCCACATGGGGTGACCTTGGGCAGGGGTTCTTCTTTCTCTGAGATGAGATCGTTGCCATGAAGGCAGAAGTGCCTGGGACAGTGACCGTCCTTGGACCTGTGACCCAGTGTGCGTCCCCCAGTTAATGCCTGTGTGAAATGAAGGAACTGAAGTCCATCTGCAGCTCAGTTAATGCCTCTGTCAAAGGATCTGTCACGCCGCAGAACAGCCAGGGCTGCACAGAGGCTGCAGCCCTGGTCAGGGATGCCTACAGCTGTTTTCTTCTCATTTTAGTTCGCAAGAAATGATTCCATAATGGATTAAAATAAAATGCTTCCTTTGCTCCAGAGAGAAGTAAAGAGAGCAAAGCTCATGACTCCTAGAGAATGTGTCTTTCTCGCAAAGGCTTGGTCTTGAAATGGGGTTCTGGTCTACCATTTTTTAAAAGTCCAGATATGTGAGTAACAGAGAGGGGTAAAGATCTCCTACCAACCTAGTCTTGAGCCAGTAACAAGGGCTCTGAGAAACAGGCTTAAAATGCCAGACAGACGGTACAGACCTCTCCTTAAGATAAGAGTGAATGTAATAGTCGGGGTTATCTGAGAATGGCCCAGACTAGTAGGGGACAAGGGAGACACTCTCTTCCTCACCACCCCGTGCCACCAGCTGCACCAGAATCCACCTCTGCTCAGCACTTAGTACTTAGCATGTCTTAAATCATAAGAGAGAGTTCCCACCCTGCCCAGAAATAGAAGGATTCTAGAGGTTTCTTCATAGATCATGAAGTGAAATGGCTGGTCCACCCTGATGAGGGGAGGCATGGAATAAGTAATAATTCCCTAAAGGCTTCCCACCACTGCCTCAGTTCTCTTCTCATCCACTGCCATCACTGTTCTTTGCAAGACCTAGAAAAGGAAATAATGTGGAAGACCATTCGTGTGGCAGTGGTGAGGAGGGAACTAATTGAGCCCCTTGATATGTTCGGCTATGGTCCTACCCATGGGGCCATCCACGCTCCTGAGATTGAGTGGTTCAGGCTCATCTGTGCTGAGAGGACTGGTCTGAGGTTGTACCAGGGACTGCCTTGGAAGCCCGAAACAATACCAGGGCACCCCAGACCACAGTGCAGGTGTGGATCAGGGGACACTGCCTAGCCAATTCGTGCATGCATGCATCAAGTCAGCAAATACTTAGTGACCATATACTTTGTGCTACTGATTCTTGAATGAGCTGATGCTCGTCCCAGAAGGTTTTCATGCTGCCTGGTGCTCCTGGATGGCAGGCGAAGTGGGAGTAGGGGCATGGTTACTTTTCCGTAGAAGCTTTCCCAGTCCCTAGTACTGCTGTGAGGCAGTCCCGGGGGCCCTGAAGTCTCCCTGGACTCCAGTTGCCTGGACTCAGGCTGCTTGTCATGTTTGGGAGGCCCTTTTGTCCAGAAACCTCATGTAATATAAATGATGTACCCACATAATTTTTTAAAGGAGGTCATGGGAATATCTGTGTCCCAACACCTGGAAATTCTCTCATCTCTTGGAGTGGAATTTACTTTTCAGATTAAATGGGGGGTGGGGGGTGGAATATTAAACGGTTTGCAAATTAAACTGTAAAATAGCTTATTTCTTCATTTTTAACTGTGTTTACAGCAGAAATTCTTTCAGGTGCTGGTGTGCAGGATGGTCCTGTTTGTTTACCTTATTTTCCCTGAGCTGGTAAAGCCTGATGGGGAAAAAGGCAATCAGATTCCGTATCCCCAGAAAGCCTGTAGTAAGATATTGCTGCCATCTGTACTGTCTGTCGGAATAGTTTCTTGGTTGTAATCATGATTGGGGGTTGCTGCTGGCTCCTTCGTGCATATGGACCAGGCATGCTCGCTCAGCAGTTCCCCAGGATGCACGGAACTGCCCTGGACAGCAGATGACTGCTTCTCCAAACCAGTAGCGCTTGCATTGAGAAAATGGATTAGCTGGGGGCAGGGTTTGGGGGGGATTCCATGTGGAAGAATGACTGACCTTGCTCTCAGTGGCTTCAGAGGCAGAACTAAGGTGAAAGGATCTGAGTTAGCTAGTGTGTGTGTGTGTGTGTGTGTGTGTGTGTAACAAAAACAATTTTAGCCATTTGTGGATTGAACTGCTTTTCAAAGAACTGGCAGTTTCTCTCTCATTGGAAGCATTGAAAGAGAGAGTGAGGGGGCTGTTTTGTAGGGCTATTCTAGAAGGACTTCCACAAAGGGGTGGGAAATTGGCCTGAGTGACCCCTGGGGGATGCTTTCATCTTGAAAGTGGTGTCATTTCATGCAATTTTAATGAATCTGTGACCCAATTCCATTTCAGGGGTAAATCTTGAGCATTGAGAGAGAAGAAGGAGAAGTCCACATAAGAGAAGTCACATGAGTTAAATGTGTTAATAAAGTAGCTCAAAATTATAAAAACATCCAACCTAGGTGCT